GTGAGGCCAAGAAATAAATCGCACAGTGACAGCGACTCAAGTTACTTTATACAAAAGAGCTGGGTCTATGGTTAAACATGGTTAAACCGGGAAGTATTATTATTATTTATTTTGCCCAGTGTGGATTTATCACTTACAAGTGTTAATCCATCTACCCACAAGAACAAGATACTGTGCAATTCTATGGCCAAAAAGATCCTTTAGGGCCTCTTTTTGTAGCCACACCCACACTCCACCTCATGTCATGTCCACTGCCAGTCTGTTCTCCATTCCTATAATGTCATCATTTAAAGATTATACAGCCAGGCACACCTGAGATCCCAGCACTCGGGAGGCTGAGACAGGAGGATCACCGTGAGTCTGAAGCCAGCCTGGGCTACAAAGTGAGTTCAAGACCAGCCTGAACTGCATCATGAAAGCCTGCCTCAAACACACACACACACACACACACACACACCGCATATAGTAACACAAAGAGCGTAACAGCGTATTAATCTTTGGGGAGGGGCTTTTTTACTCAGCATACTGCCCTTGAGACCCATCTGACACGCTGTATCCATACACAATTATAATTATTAGTGCATATTAATTGTACAAAATGACGGGTCTCAATTTAACATTTCTATACCTGTATATAGTGTGCTTTGAGCATATCCACCCTCCCTGTTCTCCTTTCATGCCTGCTCTCCCTCCCCCAGCCCCCCTGACCCGGGAGATTCTTGGCTATCTAAATACTCACACACTGTTATAACACTGCCTTTGCGTTACCCTTCCTTGCAAGCCTCATTAACAATTTGAAGTCTCCTGTTTATGTTACAATCTGAAAAGAATTTGCCAGCTGGACATGGTAGCACATGCCGGTTATCTCAGCACTCTGGGAAGCTGAAGCAGAAGGTTTGCAAATTCAAGCCCAGCCTGGGCAACTTAGCAAGACCTTGCCACAAAATAAAAAATGAAAAAAGGTTGAATATATAGCTCAATGTGTAAAATCCTGGCTTCAATCTCCAGCACAGGTGGTGGGGGCTGTCAATCTTTTAAAAACCACGTGGAGTAAGCAGCACAACTTATAACAGCTAAATCTTGAAGTGGTCTATAGGTACATCAACAGATGAAGGGCAAAAGCAGTGTGGGTTTACTCACAGTGGAGTACTATTCAGCCCCAAAGAAGAAACCTGAGTCATCTATAGGAAGTAGATGCAATGGAGGCCATGGTATTAAGTGGACTAATAGATGCACCAGCTTAAATATCATGTCGTTTCTCTCATATGAGAAACCCAAACTATAAGGAAAGAACAAAACAAAAGACAGACAATAGGAAATAGGGAGGTCTTTTGCCAAAGGACGGAAAGGAAGGGAGAGACAGAAGAGAGGAAGGAGATTTAAAAAAGAATTACGATTCCTCATACACATGTAACCTCTCCCCACGGGGAGTGAGGTCATTTTATACTGCAAACATGTTAGAATAAAATTAAAAACTGAAGAGAAAGACGCCAACACAGAGTGGACTGTCTCTTTCTGTGTTAAAAAGGCTAACTATGGCAACTGGTTGGCTGTTTTCGTGGGAAAAGCCTCAATATATTGGTAGCCTAAAAAATCTCTTAGTGAATAAATCACCGGGGATTGAGCAGTCATGACACAGCCGTACACTGAATCTAACTCTAAATCTTTGCTCTCTGCAAAGTTCAGACAACAGGCAGCTGCTTGCTTCGCAGGCAGTAGACAGTGAGGGCATCTGGCCACCTGGCCCTGGCAGAGCTGAGGGCAAAGTCCAGCCTGCTGGGCACCTAGGCAGAGGCGGCCGGAGCGAGCCATCACCATGACGTGGCAGGAGGACCCTCAGGACACTGCTCCAAGGAACCTCCAACAGCTGCCCGGAGCTTAATATCATTTGAGATCCGACACCCACGCAGAATCGATGACAGAAACAAATGATATCAAAACACTGACGAGGACTTCATTAATGGTAAAAACCTCTCCCGTGTGAAAGGCAGTGTGCAAAGTGAAGCGAGCGGCCACAGCTGTATTTGCAAAACACACGTGTGGTGAGGGACTTACACTCAAGTGCATCAACTCTTAGAGAACACCCGGCTTCGAAGGGGGCACGGACCGAAGCCATCTCACCAAGGAAGCCCTGCAGAGACTCCATGTCCTGAATCAGCAGGGAGCTGCAGCTTACAGCATCGGTAAAGCTCCACGCCGTAACCATTAAAACAGTGACAACCCCGGTGCCAACAATGCCAAACGCTGATGGGGATTCGCAGGGCAACAAGACTCCGCTTGCTGCTGGCAGGGAGACGTGACCTGCAAGAAGGCATCGTGGCAGCTTCTTAAAAACTAACCCTACCCTTAGCACATGCCCCAGAGTCACAGTCCTTTGTGTTCTCCATCTGTGCTGAAAGCCCATGTTCACACAAGGATGGATGTGTACAGGGGCTTCACCCAGAACTGCCAAAACCTAGAAACAGCCGAGACTGCCATTCAACAGGTGAGTGGTGAGCAAGCTGCGGTGTATTCAGACAGTGGGCTATTACTCACAATGAAAAACAGCCCTTGTGGTACAACAACTCTGCGTTCAGTTCCCAGCACCACCAAAAAAGCAGACAGACAGAGAGCGAGCAAGACAGTGAGTGAGTGCACACCACAGAAAACACAAAGGCACCCTCAAAGCATACTTAACTGAATTAAATTGTTCTGAAGAGAAAATATGTGATCCTGACTATGTGACATCTTGGAAAAGGCAAAGCAGGCCAGCAGGGGCCGTAGAAGGGGACAGACGGGCCTGGAAAACACGCATCTTCATCCTTCTACGCCCTGTCCTGCCCCTTGACTTTGGCGGTTTCGAGGTCACTACTTCGAGTCTTGCCGGATGCCAGCTGGGTTGGGACCCAGGATGCTGGAGGACGCCAGGGCACTGGGTCCTTCCAGGACAGTCCAGCCATTCATCCCACACAGTCCTCAGTTTCCCCTTTGTACACCAGAATCATTCGTCGTACACTGCCACGGCTGGGTTGCCGCACGGGTCACTTTCCCTCAGCCCACCGTCACTGCGGTTTCCTGCCCTGCGGAGCAGCAGCCTCCAGCCCTTCGGTTCAGTCTCTTCATTTCCCAGGAGAGGGAGGGTTGGTGTCCAGACTGAGACCTGAACCCACGTTTCTCCCTACCCTCCCGGGCTCAGTTTACCAGCCCTGCAGGAAGGTACCCATTGCCTCTCGCCGTATGTAGCAACCCTTTTTTAAAATGCTGGGAACTGAATCTGTGACTAATTAGAACACCATCTCCCTACCGCTGAGTCACCAGCTAAAACCCACCGCTCTGCATCCTGGGGCACCTGAGGCCTTCCGGGTGACCAGCTCAAAGGACCATGATTGTCTCAACTTGGCCCTCTGTGTCTAGGGCCCCACAAAATAGAAATGGCTTTACTTGGGGAAGAACAAGAGGACGAGATGAGATGAAAAGGAAGCGTGTTTAAAGTGGATAAAAGGAGGGCTTTTCCTTCCCCCACCGCACACAATTGACCCGGGGAACTCGCTGCAGCAGGATATTAAGATCAATGGTGAAGATTTGTGTTTTAAAAGATTAGACATTTCCCATGCATATCATCAACAGTGAGATTCAACAGGATGAAAGTGAGATGGATGAAAGTTCTCAACTTCAGTGCCCAAGTGGATCACCAACTGGGTCAGGTGAAAAGGAAAAAGTTGTCTCCCGACCATCTGAGAGCTCACGGGCAGGCGGGTGTGGGGTATTCCGGTTACGGATCTCGTGTAAATTGACAGCTATTTAACTGTACTCACTGGTGCGGTGGCTCAGGGCCCTGGGGTGGGATCGCCGAGGTGCTCACCTCTGCACTGCGCTGGCTGCGGCCTCCCCTGGGACGCTTTCAGCCCGCTGAGGGGACCTGAGGCTGGGGACCGTGTAGCAGACACCCGCTGGGTGATGTGAAGGCTCACTCAGCTGACACTGCACCGGGCCACTCCCACGGGCTCCAAGAGGAAGCATTTCAAAGAAATAATGCTCCAGAGAACCGGCCGCCGAGGACCTGTCTACACCACTGTTTCTGATACACTGTAGGGGTTGAAACCCCGAGATTCAAGAGGAAGTGATTCAGGACCCTCCACCCGCCCTCCTCCGTGGTCACACTGCAGAGGAATTCGGGGACTGGGCCAAGTTTTCACAGTTACCAGTTATCTTCGGAACTATCAGTTAGCTTTAGAAAATACAGACTTCCAAGGAAGGAGCTGGGAATGCAGGAGGGAGAGAACATGAATCTAGTGGGGAGAACTGATCTGCGAGCAGATAACCCCAGATCTATAAAATAAATCACACGGTGGTTATACTGGCCTGCCCTCTTTAAAAATCTTGACCTAGAACCCGCTGTCAGAACGGATTGGTTACACTGGACAAGAATCATAGCTGGACGCAGTGGCACGCGCTGTAACCCCAGCTGCCCACAGGCTGCAGCAGGAGGGTGGTGGCTCGGACACTTTCTCGTTTCTGACGCACATTACTAGGCACTTCACCCGACGCCCAAGTGGTAAAGAGTTTAAAAGGTGATTCTTGGCTCAGAGATTCGGAAGGTTCAGGCCACAGTCAGCAGTTGGAATACAGAAACAGCAGGGCAGCAGGTGCAGAGGGGCAGCCGGGGAGCAGGGACAGCGCAAGGGGAAAGTGCACACCGCCAGCTTCCTTCTCCTCCCGCCTCTGTCCCGCCGGAGCCCACAGCCTGTGCCACGGTCACCCTCACTGGGGTGGGGCTACCTCGGTCTGCTGTCCCAGGCACTGCCAGCATCTCACCGACACACCCAGAAGGGAGCTTTACTAATTTCCTGGCTGTCACTCAGTCCAACAAACTGGCCATCAAGATTTCCCATCACAAGAAGACATGCTACGAGGCAGCGAATGCTGCCAGGCTTGGTGGCCTCTCCAGGTGGCCAGTCACCAGCTCTGCAGTGCTGTATTTCCCTACAAATAAGACCTAGCCAGAAAATAAGCCTCAGCAGGATTTTCCAAGATGCTTTTAATATAAGCCCTACCCCAAAATAAGCCCCAGTGAAGATGGTCAAAATATCAGTGCATTTAGCAGGTACACTGTAACAGACAACGGAGGTACTAAGTCATAAAATAGCAATGTTAATACAGTTAACTATAAATATTATTGATACTAATTTTTTTCTTTGTCTTTTTGAGACAGGGTCTCATTATGCAGTTAAAGCTGGCCTGGAGCTCACTTTGTAACCCATGCTGGTCCTGAACTTACAACAATCCTCCTGCATCAGCCTCCCGAGTGATGGGATTACAGGCATGCACCACCATGCCTGGCTTAACATTAATATTTAAAATAAATGACAACATAAATTATAATTATTTATAAATACCCAAGTGGGTGCCCCTGGATAAGAGATAAACACCTGTGCAAACAGATGAGCCAGAGACTCACTGCCCAGTGACGGGTGGGAGCCCAGACGTGCCACAGGAGCCACAAGCGTGCTTGGAAGGGGTGGACAAGGCTGCGGCTAAGGCGCACCTCCCTCCTTCAGTGTGTTATGTGCTGGCACCACGTACTGTAAGCAGGCCATGGGACCGAAGCCCTCATGCAGACCCGGATCGCTGCCCACGAGACTGGGGCAATGGCTGTACCAGGAATGGAACCACAAGCACAGCGAGCCGGACTCGGGGTCTGGAGACTCACGCCAATGTTCTGGAAGATGGAGCCATGCCTGTATGTGGATAAATGTAGACTTCTGTACATGAATAAATGAATAAAGGTAGATTGTTGCATATGAAAACATAAGCCATTCCCTGAAAATAAGCCCCACTGCATCTGTTGGAGCAAAAATTAATGTAAGACTAGGTCCTGTTTGGGGGGACACAGTATGCAGTGGCAGTGGAAGTGCCACCCTGACTCCCACATCATGGCCACTGTGGTGTGCGCCCTCCGACCTCTGCCCCTCCAGCTATCCAGCAGCTGGGTGCATCCCAGCCCGGTTCAGCCCCAAAGCTTTCTCCGCTTGAACGCTAAGTGTTCCGATTTCCTGCGGCAAACCCCGGAGTGCCAAGGCTCGCACTTGGCCATCCAGCAAGCCTGGGGCCTCCCCAGGCCCTGCTCCGTCCTCATGGCCTTCCCTGCGTAGGCTCCCGGTGCCAGTGCCCAGCTCGACGCTGGCTCAGAATCAATGCTCAGCAACCTGCAGCTGCCTCTGCCAGGAACCCAGAGGTGCTGCAGGCGGAGCGAGGGGCGCCCCGGGCTGCGCTGTGAAACCGGGACTGGCTGCAGGCGGAGTTCTCTACTGGCTCGCAGGAAGCTGGGGCTCTGGCTTCCCTGCACTGGACCTCTGCACGCAAGGCCCACGCCACAGCTGCAGATTCCACTTAACTTCCAAGAGGGGCGAGGTGGACGGGGACCCCGCTCTGCAGCTGGCGGGCCCAGGACCCCGTGCATGGTTCATGCTGGCTGCCAGGCCCACAGCAAGGCCTGCGGTGGGCACAGGCCCTGAAGTCAGGGAAATACAAGAGGGAAGACGTGCTGAGCTACTTGGCTGACCTAAGCCTGTTTCTTCACCCTCAGACATAACCTCACAGATGGGTTTTTATACAATGGAGCACTACTCAGCTATAAAGAAGGATGAATTTGAGGCTTTCATAGGTAAATGGATGCAGACAGAGGCCATACTCACAAGTAAAATAGATCAGATGTGCCTGGTAAGCATCATCTTGTCTCCCTAGTGTAAGAAACTAAGATACAAAATCTTCGATAGATACTGGGGAAGGGAAAGGAACTGCTCACAAGGAAAGAACAACTGGGATAAGAGGAAGGAGAAATGAAGGAAAAAGAAAATAAACATCTATCTACTTGTATTTCACATAAATATACAATTATACTAATTTTTCTAGTTCACTGAAGACAACAATATGCAATATATTAACCACTGTTAATTTCTTTTTTTTTTTTTTTTGAGACAGGGTCTCGCTATGCAGTTCAGGCTGGCCTTGAGCTCACTTTGTAGCCCAAGCTGGTCTTGAACTTACAACGATCCTCCCACTTCAGCCTCCCAAGTGCTGGGATTACGTGAGCCACCATGCCCGGCCCATTGTTAATTTCTTACCCCGTTTTGAAACTATATTACTGTTTTTATTTTTGTTTTTCTCTCTTTAAAATAAAATTTAAAGATAGATATATACCTCACAAGCTCCCTGGGGTAAGAGAGGTGACATATGTAAGAAGGTGAGCACAGATTATGTGAAACACATACAGGAAACCCTCAGCACCCCTCTTTTGCTGGTATTATGGTTTTTATTACTGCTAATACATTTTTACCACAATTCCACTGCTCCCCACAATTTTACCTGCCACCCAAGCAGACTCAGGTGCCCAGAGCGCGGGTCTGTTCCTTCTCTGGGAAGACGCCACTTCCCACACCAATGTGATTAATTTTTCATATTACTATTATTTGTGGTGCTGGAACTTGAACCCAGGGCCCGCACCTGGAGCTGCATCCCCAGCCCACCTCCTTCCCCTGCATGGCAGTGTTGCTGAGAAAGCATTTGCAGCCCTCAGGCATCAGCCTCCCAGAGTACCAGGAGTGCAGGGATGCAACACCACACCCAGCTGTTAATCCCTTTTTGGCAAAAGACCTAGCTAGGCACCACACCCAAAACAGCTTTCCAGGGTTCTCAAGCCTAGTGAAAATCAGAATCACCTCACGGTTAAACAGCAACAAAAAGAACAAGAAAAAACCCTAATATCTGGATCCTCGGCCAGAAATCCCCACTTAAGAGCGGGTCAGGCGCGGGGTTCTTCGGCTTCCTAGGCAGTTAAACCGTAGCTGGGAGGCACTGACTAAGGGGGGGGGGGCGGCGCAGTTTTCCTCTCCTGTTACCCCCACCATGGTGCGGGAGGAGGACGGAGGGTCACAGCCGAATTCGTCCACTTACCACGCTGTGGAACTGCAAACGGTTCTGAGGTTAGCGCGCTGGCTTCTCACCCGCTCGAGGCTGATAGGACGGGAAGATGCTGAGCTCATGGCAGATGTTAGGGTCCCTGGCTGTGCAGGCTCCTGTACACACAATGGCTGCTGATGTCAGGTGCGCGCACTTCGATCCCAGGCAAGCGAGACCGTCTGTGCTTCGGATTGAACTCAGTAACAGCCACGCGCTAAACACAGCTGGCATCATAGCACATGCTCAGAAATACAGCACACCTGAAAATCATGTTTCTTTGCATTGTTAAAGTAACATACCAAAGAGAACACCGAAAACTGGGAAGACCCAAGGGGCACAGTCAGTAAGGGCAAAGCCAGAGTTTGGACCCAATGCTGCTGCAGGGAACAGAGTTGGGCCCAGCTGAGACACACAGGTCACGTGCCAAGGCTGTGTGCAAGCGCTCGGTACCACCTCAGCTGTCACTCACATCTGCCGACGCTGTCTGTATGCAGCATGCCATTTCTGCCCCAGGGTTCAAGAGAGTAAAGAACATACATGGTGGTGTGTGCCTGAAATCCCAGGACCCTGGGAGGTTAAAGCAGGAGGGTCATAAGTTCAGATCCAATTGCAGCCTGGGTAATTTAGCAAGACCCTGTCTCAACACACACACACACACACACACACACACACACACACACACACGATGTAGCTCAGTGCAAAGGCCCTGTGTTCAACCCCCAGAACTGCAAAATAAACAGGATACAAGAGCTATCTGTTCATTCCTACAGCTTTGAAAACAATGCACGTACGAACATACACCTAGTAAAATTTTATATGCTATAATTATTCCCTGGCGACAAAATCCAAAATCAAAACTTCCAAACTTAGGTAATGTCACACTTATTAAAGAAACATTCCCATTGTTCTGTTTCAACAATCACTAAACATACCTTCAACTCTCAGCTGAATTTCATCAGTTAGGCTCTGTAGAAAAATGTTCAAAATGGCAACAAGATCTTCAGTTCAGAAATTCGAGGTTTGCTGAACGGCTGTAAGGATGGAAAATGGAAAGAGAAATGTGGGCGTCAACAGATGAGGGTGCTTGGTAATGTTCTAAAGCATTAGAACTGCAACTGCGGGGCTGGGCACACAGAGCCGTTGCCTAGCACACCACACCGTAAAACAAATAAATAAGCACCATTTTAAAAAAGTGTTTTCCAATTTTACTCAGGAGAAATTTTTGTTAATTTTTTAATTGACAACAAAATTATATACATTGTAGAATAGCTAAATCAAGCTATTATCTGCAATGCCTCACTGTTGTAGGGTGAAAAAATCTACTTTCTTAGCAATTTTCTCTATCATCATCATTAATAACCAATCTTTATGAGTCATCATGACATGTAAAATGTTTATTTCTACCATTTCCATGTATTAAATAACTTTCTGCAAGTCCTTTTGGTATCAATTTCTTCATCTGACTGCCACAAGGATTAAATGAGGTAAAATGTTATGAATTATTTAACATCCTGGCTAAGACACACTATGCAGCATATTAAAAATCGCCCTTAATCCGAAGCAATATATGAAAAAGCAAAGATTAAAGTGGTAGAAAAAGATACAAAATAAGTCTTTATGGAAGCGTTGTCTTCTATCATTCTTAAAGATCTCACTGTAAAACTAAGGTTTTTGCTGTAAATAGAGAAGGTATACACATCAGCTGATAACCCAGCTTGAGTCAGAGCGCGGTGAACTAACACCAGCTCTCTGGCGGAATTCCTTCGCGAGTGACTAACATTCTCCGGCTTCAGGTCGTTTTTATTATTAGCCAACACTTGTCCGACCCCAGAACGCGCCGGCGGCCAGAAGCGCGCCGAGCGGCCGCCCCGCCCTCGCCCCCGCGCAGGCGCAGACGCTGCCTTCCCCGGCTCCCCTTGGCCGCGGCTCCACAGCACCCCGGCTCTCCAGCTCCTGTAATTTTCAACCGCGATGTTTGCGGTACAGGGGCCAAGCAGTCCCCCGAACAAACGAGCTACAGCATGATCACCTGTAGAATTTCAGGGACGGGAAGATGGGTGCACAGTGTAAACACCACTAACGCTTCTGACATCTGTGCAGTCACTGATATTTATTCCTTTTTAACCTCGAGGCTGGGGTTAATATTATTTTCCACAAAGTCTGTTGGGGGAGCAGGAGGGAAGTGGCTCTTCTGCACTTAGCCTCCTGGTCTGTGCACAAGGAACCCAGATAACCGACTGTACCTCGCAATGAGTCTAAGCCTCGGTACCCCCTGCCCGTTTCCAAGCCTTTTTCTCCCGGTGAAGGCGGGGATGGGACGGAGGTACAATGTAAACCGTCTCGGCCAGCACGCTCAACACCTGTCTTCCGACATGATTAGAACACGCAGCAGAGGCATCTGCAGAACACTGAAAACATGCAGCCTAACGACCCCCCCCCCGGGGGCGCCCCGCCCGCTCCGGGTGCCCCCACATCCCCGCGGCGCTCAGAGCCCGGCTCTGCAGCGGGGAGCCCGGGGGCGCGGCCAGGACAGAGCCCTGAGCCCAGCTACCTGTGAGCGACTCCGGACCTGCCTGGGATTAGAAAACTGGCTGATAAGGGTAACATTCCAGGAGTCTTCCAAAGTCAGAAAGTCACTTTGTCAACATAAAGGTCGGGGCCTGGGGGCCACGGAAGGTCCGCGGGAAGGGTGGGGGTGCTTGCCAGGCGCCAGGCCCCTCGGGGACCAAGCCTGCCGAGGTCCCTGGCTTGTGTGAGCTCGCGTTCTGGGCCCAAGGTGGAAAGGCTCGCTGTCCTACCTGTGACGCGCACTGGTCTCGCAACTGTAAGGGTCTCAGGTTTTGCGTTAGTGTCGATTAGGGGATGTTGAGCACAAGGTAGGGGCTAAGTATTGGCTCTTTGCCCAATACAAGAGCGCAGGAGGGAGACAGAGGGGACTGTAGTTTTTACACAGCGCCCTAGGACGCAGACCGGAGCCTCAGTGGGGTCTCGGGAGCAGAGGTTCGCAGCAGTGGCGCCCCAGGAGGAAGCGAGCGCGTGCCAGGAGCTCAGAGGGACCTCAAGCCCGGGCTTCCCGCCCAGGTTCTCAAGGCGAAGTGATTAGCATTCGCCCCGCCTCCGTCCTTTACCGGCCCACTATTGGCCAACGTTCTGCAGCGGCCGCTCCGGGCGGGGCCCGAGGGCGCCAGGGGAGAGGGCGAGCCCTCGGGGAAGTGGGCGGGGCCGAGTGGGAGCGTGGCGCCGCGGTCCCTGGACTCCGAGCCCGGGGGCGGGGCCGGGGCGGGGCCTCCGGGCGGGCTTTAGAGGCAGGTGACCCGGCCCGAGCGCGAGGGCAGTCGGCCCGGCCCGGACTTTGTCGCCGCTGCACGCCGCTCGGTGCCAGCGGGAGGTAGGCGGAGGGGCGCAGAGCGCGGGGAGGAGCCGAGCCGGGCGCGTCCCGAGCGCCGCCACTGCCCCGGGTGTCTGCTGGAGCGCGGAGCCCCCTGCAGGGGAGCCGGGGAGCGGCTGGCTGAGGCGGGCGCTTACCGTGCAGCCCCGGCCCGGCCGGCGCGACTGTTGGATCCCCGGCCGCGCACCGCCTTGCCCCGCCAGGTGCCGCGGGGCTCATTCGGCCTGTGCCCCCACCCGACTCCCCGCGGCCTGTCCTCGCCCCGCGCCGCTCGGGCCATGAGGGGGGCTCCAGAGGAAAGGACGGCGAGAGACTGGCCTGCGCCGGCCGAGCTCGGAGGGCGCTTCGCTCTCTGAGCCGCCCCACCTGCTAGCATGTGTCGCCGCCGCGGTGACCCGGCCTGTCGCTAAACTTTCCCCGCTCCGGCGCGCCCGGGATCCCGCTTCTGAGCGGAGTGACCGGGGATCAGGCTGGCTGCGGACTTCGGCCCTCTCGGCGGGATCCCCAGAGGTGAGAGCCCGCGCCTTCCCTCGCTCCCAGCCCCCGTCCCCGTCCCTCTGCCTCCTTCCGGGGTACCCGGAGCTCCAGTCCCGAGGCCTGGCCGAGAGAGGGAGGGTCCCGGGAGCGAGCACTCGGTCCCGAGGGGAAGAGGGGGGTAGCTTGGAGATCGGAGCCCTCCGCCCGGGACCCAGCCGTGCTGTCCCTCTGAGAGTCGTGGTCGCTGTTTTTTCTTTTCCAAGAGTCCTTCCCCTGGGATCGGAGCCCGACTGTCCCTCCCCGGCCCCATCCTGCGAGGAGCCACAGCGCCTGGCCGAAGCAGTTTGTCTCTGGACAGATTTCTTTAAGAGAAAAAGAAACCAACAGGTTGTCAGCCCCGGCGCCACGCGCGGCGCCCGGGAGGGGGCAGCCCCGCACTCCTCGGCCTGCGTGGGCCCCGCGCAAGGCGCGGGAGGCCGAGGTCGGGCGGGGGCGGGGGCGATGGCGCGGCCGGACCCATGCGCGCCTCCCTCGCTGCTGCTGCTGCTCCTGGCACAGCTGGTGGGCCGGGCGGCGGCAGCGTCCAAGGCCCCGGTGTGCCAGGAAATCACGGTGCCCATGTGCCGCGGCATCGGCTACAACCTGACGCACATGCCCAACCAGTTCAACCACGACACGCAGGACGAGGCGGGCTTGGAGGTGCACCAGTTCTGGCCGCTAGTGGAGATCCACTGCTCGCCGGACCTGCGCTTCTTCCTGTGCTCCATGTACACGCCCATCTGCCTGCCGGACTACCACAAGCCGCTGCCGCCCTGCCGCTCGGTATGCGAGCGCGCCAAGGCCGGCTGCTCTCCGCTCATGCGCCAGTACGGCTTCGCCTGGCCGGAGCGCATGAGCTGCGACCGCCTGCCGGTGCTGGGCCGCGATGCCGAGGTCCTGTGCATGGATTACAACCGCAGCGAGGCCACCACGGCACCCCCCAGGTCCTTGGTGCCCAAGCCTACCCTCCCGGGCCCGCCAGGAGCCCCCTCTTCCAGGGGGGAGTGCAGTGGGGGCGCCCCGGCAGTCTGCACGTGCCGTGAGCCCTTCGTACCCATCCTGAAGGAGTCTCACCCACTTTACAACAAAGTGAGGACCGGCCAGGTGCCCAACTGCGCAGTGCCATGCTACCAGCCGTCCTTCAGCGCTGACGAGCGCACGTTTGCCACCTTCTGGATCGGCCTGTGGTCGGTGTTGTGCTTTCTCTCCACAGCCACAACGGTGGCCACCTTCCTCATTGACATGGAGCGCTTCCGATACCCCGAGCGCCCCATCATCTTCCTGTCGGCCTGCTACCTGTGCGTGTCGCTGGGGTTCCTGGTGCGCCTGGTTGTGGGTCACGCCAGCGTGGCCTGCAGTCGGGAGCACAGCCACATCCACTATGAGACCACAGGCCCCGCGCTGTGCACCGTTGTCTTCCTGCTCGTCTACTTCTTCGGCATGGCCAGCTCCATCTGGTGGGTCATCCTCTCACTCACCTGGTTCCTGGCCGCAGGCATGAAGTGGGGCAACGAGGCCATCGCGGGCTATGCGCAGTACTTTCACCTGGCCGCCTGGCTCATCCCCAGTGTCAAGTCCATCACAGCGCTGGCGCTGAGCTCCGTGGACGGCGACCCCGTGGCTGGCATCTGCTACGTAGGTAACCAAAACCTGAACTCGCTGCGCGGCTTCGTGCTGGGCCCGCTGGTGCTCTACCTGCTGGTGGGCACACTCTTCCTGCTGGCGGGCTTCGTGTCGCTCTTCCGCATCCGTAGCGTCATCAAGCAGGGCGGTACCAAGACAGACAAGCTGGAGAAGCTGATGATTCGCATCGGCATCTTCACGCTGCTCTACACAGTGCCCGCCAGCATCGTGGTCGTCTGCTACCTGTACGAGCAGCACTACCGCGAGAGCTGGGAGGCGGCGCTCACCTGCGCCTGCCCGGGCCGCGACGCCGGCCAGCCGCGCGCCAAGCCCGAGTACTGGGTGCTCATGCTCAAGTACTTCATGTGTCTCGTGGTGGGCATCACGTCCGGTGTCTGGATCTGGTCCGGCAAGACGCTGGAGTCGTGGCGCCGCTTCACCAGCCGCTGCTGCTGCCGGCCAAGGCGCGCTCACAAGGGCGGCGGTGGCGCCGTGGCCGCCGGGGACTACGAGGCGAGCGCCGCGCTCACCGGCAGGACCGGGCTCCCGGGCCCCGCCGCCACCTACCACAAGCAGGTGTCCCTGTCGCACGTATAGGAGCCCGCCCGCCGGGGACCCGCGGGGGAGGGGCGGCCGGGCTGCTTTCCAAGGTCACTTCCGTTTACCGCCGTGGTGTTGACGCCCCCTCCCGGGGGACCCAGGCGGCCTCCGAGGGGCGCAGCTCTTGGGCGTGGTTTTGCGTTTCTTACTGCCGACTTGAGAGAAGCCCTCTTTTTAATTTATATGTAGGTTTAATTTTTAAACTTTGTTGCATTTTGGCAACACCATTTACCTTTGTTTTGGGGGGTGCTTTGCAGTCTTGAGGTGGGCGTTGTGATGAGTTTCCGCGTGGCTCAGTTGTCTGTGAACCGTGTGGTTTGCGATGGGAAAACACGTTTCCTAAGCGTGTCCTTTGGAAAAAATGTGAACAGTGGAAGTTGGGGTCGCCGTGCCGGGGAGGCGCGGAGGGCGGCTCTCCTGCCTAGGCTTCGCGCCCGAGGAGCCCCGGGCTGCTGGCCGCTTCCTGTGTCCCCCCACCCCACCCCACCCCACCCCACCCCTGCCTGGCGCTCGGGGATTCCGCTTGCATCCTGAACTCTGCGTAGGGAGCTCTGGCTTCGTCGCGCACGGCGGAGCCCTCGGCCCGTCCTGAGTGGGGTGGGGAGTGTCTGGGTGCCCATGTAAACACTGCCGCAGGGAGAGCCCGGGGTGAGCTTGGAACCGGGCAGAGGGAGCCAATGGTTCCTGGTCAGCTCCGCTGATCCCTTATTATTTCCTTTTTAAAAGAACTTGTGTTACAGTCTCGGTGGGAGTAAGCCCACACCCTTTTTAAAAAGCGCTAGGGATCATCACTAAAAGGGGCTCCCTTTTTAGAAAGCTGAGGGACTAAAACGGACGTGCCTGCAGGAATTAAAGCACAGTTCCAGTGCTGCTCTTATCTGCCCCCCCCCCCTTTATCATGCTAAGCAGCCTCTTGCTTTTCTTATTCCTCGCTCCTGGCGAGTTTGATTAGAAACCACACCCACCTGGAGCCGTGCGCGCAGCCTGGGGGAGGGCAGCCGCTACCTGGGAGCGCCTCTGGCCGCTGGGAAGGAAAACAAGTGTGACCCTGAGCTGGGCTGGGCTGGTTTGGGGCCAGATGTCCCCAGAGCCTCAAGGCGCGCAATCCAGAATCTCAGAAAACAGTCGAAACCCACAACATCACTGCGTACGCCCTCAGATATCATCAGCTCTTGTTGCGTTGAGAAGAAAACTTTACTCCGCTTTCTGTTCCTGGTCCTCTTCTAAGTAAGCTCTTACGCTGATGCGCCCACACACACTCGCTCCTTTGCTGTCGCCAAATTCAGCTCGCTTTCCTCATCTGTGTAACGGTCCTCCCTGCATGTGTGCAAGCTTGCACACTGACAAACATGCCCGAGCACACGCAAGCTGCTGTTCGCTCTGTTTGCCTCCCTAGTCTGTTCAAATGCGCCCCAGGCCGTGGCTGGGGGAGGGGCGGCAGCGCCACAGCGGCAGACAAAACACCCGAGGACAGGACTGGCTGGGGACTGGGCTGAAGGGACCCTAAATGGCCCAAGCCATTGCTAGGGAAACAACCGAAAACTTGGCCCTCCAGCTTCATTTGCACCGAAGTTGGAAATGTAAAATTTCAGCCTGGGCTAATTTTACTGCATGGGTGTTGAGTAGATAAGTGGGAATTTAAATACTTAGCTGGTGGAGAGACATCTCCTCCTCAGCTGAAAGACCTTTTAAAAGCTGCTGATATTTCTTTTAAAAACCAGCTGGATCAAAATTAAAGTTTTGGTGGATTCCAGGAAACCTAGCACCCGTAGCTGGGAGCTTTGTGCTTGTATTTTCCGTATTCCTTTCCAGAAGCCTCTTCCTCGAAGCTTGCAGTAGGGCCCCAGACCCTCTTCCATCCTCAGTGAGGACCTTCCTGAGCGCCTTGACCTCTGTCTCCTTTGGTCTTCCTGGGATCTGCTATCTTTGGTCACTGTCCCTGGCATGCGCTGGGAGATGCTCTGGAGGTCTGGTTTCAGAGGCACCCTTCCATGTCCTCTCTCCTCTCCTCGGCTTTCCCACTTCCTTTCCGCCACCCTGGAAGAGGAAGATCCCACTTGGTCCTCTCAGGCCTCACTGACATCCTCACCTTGACTGCCGAGAGGGTGTCTGCGTTTATTTACAGCTGTCTTCCTCCCAGACTCACTTTGCTCCACTCTGTGATGAAAACAGCCAGCATGACAGGCTAGGGGAAGTCCAGCCACTTCTTCTCAGGCAGCTTGGCAAAGTTGGGGAGGACTCAGGCCCACCTTCACACGCCATGACGCCTCCAGGCTGCTGGGCAACCCTCCGTGTAAAGCGCCACCTGTGCCCTGGGTGAAGGGGCGGAGCTTTGGGAGAGTGTCACTGACGGCAGCTGGGCCTCGGGAATCGGGTGGGCACCAAGTAGGCAGTTCTGAGAGTTTATATCGTGTTCCTCCTCCCGTTTTGAAGCTGTCTGAAATCCTTTCTATGGGTGCCTTATTGGTTATTCTGTCGAGATTTTCATATGACCACCACCAGTGGCCAGGGCCTGTGTGTGTGTGTGTGTGTGTGTGTGTGTGTGTGTGTGTGTGTGTGTAAAATTGTGTGCATGTGCAAGCTTAAATCGTGTGCCAACAGCCCTGTTGCAGAGCTGGTGTTCATTAGGCTGGGCCCTCCTGGGCCCGGGCCGCACTCCTCTGGGCTCAGGCTGTGGGGAGAAGCCTGGGGCACACGCAGCTCCTTCAGAGCTGCAGGCAGAATGGGACCCCCACCGCTCGGAAGAGCAGTTGTGTATTTTAATGAACTGCTCCCCCTGCTAAGAAGCTCCTTTCACTTTTGTGTGCTACAGAAAGACCAACGGGAAAGGAGGGACAAAGCTTTGAATGACTGCTTTCTAACACCGAATGTGCAGGCTCGATGGAGTGTAGCACAGATCTGGGCAGGTGCCGGGAGCAGGAGCTGGGCGTGGCCGCTGCCTCTGTGGGCCCTTGCTGGTCTCCAGAGTTCCAGCAAGGGATCCTGGGCTGGGCAGGACAGTTCTCTAAGTTGCCAAGACATTAAAGAAGGGCAGAAGTAGGCTGAATGGAAGCAGCCGTGCTGACTGCAAACTGCAAACTAACATAAGCTTCTAGATGCTTGACGACAGTGACAGGATTTCCTTTCGGCCAGCATAATGTGTGTCTGTGGTACATCATTTACAACATGTCCCTTCGTGTTGCTCCCCACTGTGTGTATAGTATGTGTGTCTTGCCAGTGTGTGTACATATACATAATATATATTATATATATGAGAGGTTTAGTGACTTTCCATACGGGTTTGGTGCAGGTGAATCTATTACTGAGCCACAGGAGGCGCTCGCCGCGCCGGTAGCTGGAGTCCAGGGCCTCCGACCCTTGGGATGATGTCCATGTCTTCGGGGTGCCCGCCCGTCCAGTGCTGGCCAGGCCAGGACAGCCAGAACTCACAAGTCAGAGCCAGCAGTATTTTATTTGTAGACAATCAACTCGAATCTATAAATTATTACTGGCAAATGATTATAATTCTGAATCTATAATGCTCATGAAACTCAGAGCATCCTGATGAGGTTTTATCATTTTCTTTTGTTCCTGGAAGTCAGTAGCAATTATCTGTGGTTATGTTAGTCTCAAGATAACTTGTTGACATTATTTCAGAGAAATTTTGTATGTATTATATTTGTGGGAAGGTAAAATAATGGTTTGAGATTTTTATCAAATATGGAGATTAGTTATTTATGAAAAACAAAGAAATGTCTATTTTTGTTTCTTTGTTCCCAATTAATGTAGATAACTTTTTAAAAATGCATTAAAGCAATGGTAAAGAAAATTAAAAGGTGCTGTTAGAAGTTTCTTCTGCTTGTTTTTCTAAGGGTGTCTGATGCAATGTGGATTCTAACATCATAATCAGGTTTCTCACTAAAATATAAGCAGCAAACTTTTATTAGTAAGTAAAACCGGACAAATCCAATCACTGGAAGAACTAATTAATATATGTGTCACCTGAAATGTCCTACTGATCCATCCTCGGAAGGTCTTATTACTCACTTGAAGGATGCTCCAGGAAGAATGGAGATACTGTCCAGTTTGTGTGGTTTCTTTTGGTGCGGAGTACCAAGAATCGAACTCAGGACCTTGTGCTTGGCAGGCAGATGCTATCCTGCTGAGCTACAACTGCAGCCTGTTGAGCTGTGTCTGTAGACAGGCACCGTGTGAGGTATCTGGGGAGGGATGGGGTCGGGTCCACACTAGGTATTCAGCTCTGGATTCGTCAGGGAGCCTGGAAGTTGGCTTCATAAGGACTCCTCCCGGTTTACCTGCAGAGACGCTGGGTACCATCATCCAACCCCTTCTGCTGACATGGCATTGCCAGGTGTGCCTTTGCCGGCATTGTGTGCTGAAGTCCCTCACACTGATACTTGGTAGTGTCAGCCGGTGTCCTCCAGCCACGCTCTGAGGCATTGTGGGAAAACCTGGGTGGTCAGGAGTTTCAGATGCAGCGTGGTGATGGCACAGATCCGTGCAGATGTGGGTGACAGCCAGAACGGGTCACTCGCAGTCAAGGTGAATGTTCTGTACAAGGGACATGCAGGGTGGTGGCAGTAGCTGCCCCACGGCCATGTGTAGGATGTGGTTCTCCCCTTTGTTTGCTCCTGGCTCATTTCACTGGCTGAGGCGGCGGTTGAGGGAGTCACTGTTGGGAGCAGGGAGATCTTAGGAAGTTGGAGGGTGGACACTAGGTGATACAACTGGCCTGACAGACGGAGTTGGAGCTGCTCAGTTTGTCACAATGAGACAGAGGGCAGAGGCAGAAAGAAGGGTCCTGTGTAGACCGGGCAGTACAGAGCTCCTGGCACCAGGTGAGCACTGGTCTCATAGCTCACTGTTCTCCTCTGTGAAAAGGGGGTGCCAGCAGTGAGAATATCTTGGGGTTCAGAGAGGTAATAACATGCAAGCACAACCAATATACCAGGGAGCTTGCACCATGTGTGGGAACTGTCCCAGGCCCCCAGTAGGATGGTCATATTGTTCCACCTTGATTCCAGCCCCAAGAAACTTAAAACTTTTAAATTTAGAATCTTTTTTTTTTTATAAATTTAAAATTACTCCAAACTTTTAAGTTGCAGAGATTAACTAGAGTTCTTGTATGGCTCCAAGGTGAACATCTTGGCCATCTCAGGGGACCTGCTGTAACGGCACCCTACTGTTACCCTAGATGCCATCCGCTTTAGGATCCAGTCCATGGCAACAGAAAAGCCTTGTTTTTTTCACAGTCATCTCAGTTGATGAGATGCACACAGTCTGGGGACCATATCCTGAGAATCACTGTAACACCTGAACTAAGAGCTGAATTTGTCCCATCCTCAAAGAAAGAGGAATGCAGTTTTAAAGCACACGAGGAATGGTGGAGGGAATGAATAGTTGTGATTTTTAGAAATGGAGGCTGGGTGCTCCTAGTTTGGGCCTGGATTGAAGATGGAATACCAAGGACTTCGAGGTCAGCAGATTGCTAACACAATCTGGCGGGGGACAGCTGCTTCTGGGCCACAGGAGAGCAAGCAAGGGGGTCACTCAGGGCTACTGAGCCCGTGCTGTGTGAACCCTGTGCTGCCCCCAGGCCCAGGCCTGCAGTCCCAGCACACAAGGCATGGGGACCACAAGCTCATGCCTTCCCCGGGCAGTTCTCAGACAGGGTCTACCTCAGAAAGCGAAAAGGGCCAGGGTTGAAGCTCAGGCAAAGGCTCTGGCTTTAACCCGCAGCACTGCCACAAATACAACCTGCATTGCCGCGAGCCTGTATTCCTGCTTTGTAAGTGGTCACAAGCTTCCAGCAGAGCGCTGGTGGAAGGTGAAGGCCACTCTGGGGCTTTGGAGTCACCATCTCGGGGCTGTGGGACTGGTGAAATAAAGAGCAATTTCTGGAAACTAGAACTAATCTGGATATCGTTTGAGGTCTTCTGAAGCAGGTACTGTCTTACCAAGGACTTCGGTTCTGGGGCTGTCACTGGTTTCTCTCATGACATGCAAACTGTTCAGCCCTCCCGGCAAGTGTGAAGTCACCAAACCTGTTCCTCTTAGTGTTAACACCTCCCCCCCCCCCATGGCACTCAGGATTCAGTCCCCATACGTTCCCAGCTGTCCTAATACCCTAGAGAGTCTAAACTACAAACTGGCATTCCTAAAATGTACCTCATAGTGTGTCTGAGTTCTTTTACTTGCTAAAGTCACTTAGAACAGTTCAGTGAAAGCTGCCTTAGAAGCCAGAAGGGCTGGGCCTGTGTTTGGGGGAACAGGTCCCACTCAAGATGTGTTGTTTTCCAACAATGCCAGGCCTCCCAGGTTGGTAAGTGGCTGGCAGTGAAGACTGCTCTAATGCTTGACTTGTTGGTAGTTACTGGCTGCAGTCTACAGATTCTGTACTGAAACTGGCCCTTTCCTGGGGTGCTTTTCCAAGTGGTTCCATACTCAGTGCAGCTTCTGGGTGAGGACAGTGAGCGGTCACACTAAATGTGGCTAGTGACAAGGGTAGGGTAGTGAGGTGATTAGCCTGTGTCTGTAGCTAGTTTCCAAAACACTGCTAACCTAAACAGAAAGTGAAAGGCTTCCAGACACGGAGAATACTTTAGATGTACAAAATTAAGCCAGCAAGTTGCTGTAAACCCAGGACTAAGTGCCTAGATTTCACAAACACGCAGGCATATGGAGGACATGAGGGGGAATGAGAGCCTGGGGTACACACGCATATAACCCCAATGTTCAGCTGTCGGGCAGGAGGATCTTGAGTTTGAAGCCAGCATGGGCAATGGTGGAGGGGCGGCAGCTGTACTGGGATAAACCCCATGAAACTGCTAGTGGGCAACCTTACTTGGGACCCAGGAAACTACAGTGGCATTGGCTTCAAACATCTCAGACCTTTTGTCTTCCCAATGATGTTTAGTTTTCTTCTTTGAGGTCTTTTTGCAATAGTAAAAATCCAAAACCTCAAAACGAAAAGAATCTGAAGCCAAACACTGTTTTATAATCTTCCTGTTACCACCCTCCTGGCAACGTGCTTCCCCACGTCTGTAACGTTACAGGACTTGCGCACTCTCGCCGCTGTATCCAACACGTGAAGCTGCCCTTTTCCCATTCTCACAATGGCTGTCCAGCCTTCTAGAGTGAAAGTGAAATGGGGAACAGCAGTTAGTGATATTCTTAAGTTACAGGTTCCTGTTCAGTGTCCTGCTCCTTTTGTTTGGTTTGTTTCTTGAGACAGGGTCTCTAGCGTCCAGGCTGGCCTGGAACTCACTATGTGACCGAGGCTGACCTTGAACCTTGAACTTGCAGAGGACCCCGGCGCTGCCTCGACCTCCCACATGCTGGGATGACAGGCCTGCACCACTACTATGATGGCACCCAAATGCTGTGTTTGTAACTGAAGCAGAGACTTTGAAAACAGTGTGAAGTCAGAGCGCCTGCCCGCTCTAAGTGACCCTCTGTGCCAAGTCAGTTCCCGTCCCTTCACTTTCTTATTCCACTGAAATTTCTAGCTCGACACTATGCCTGTCATTCCTTTCTCCTTCATATACCCTACCTTCAACGAGGCCATCCAACGTACTGTCACTGAGTATTGAGGCCAGTGACTTTAAGTGCAATAAACTATCTTTAGGTGGGAAAGTGCTTAAAATAAATTTATTACTAAACTGTAACTAGAGGAATGGATGGAAGCAGGTTTAGTAGGGTCAATGTGAAAACACTATTAAAAACTCATCAAGGCCAATGTAAAAATGATTTAAATTCTGGACAGATGTGAACAGAGACATATAAACACACGGTCATATTTAATTAAAATAGAATTTATTAGACTTTCTTTTAATATAAACATGAGAAAGAAAAACCACATTAAGTTGTAGCATTTTTTTTTTGAAACCAAACCACTCAAATCTCCAAGCTCGACACTCCACGAACCATCTGTTGAGGTGGTAGATTGTAGTATGTACAAACCATACTCGGCATTTGTCTGTCTCAAAGAATGATGGAACCTGCAGCATGTAATATAGCGAGAAGCACTGCTGCACGGAGAGAAGTCTCCCCGGCCCAGAAGGGCTGTGTTCACAGGCAAGGCTCGTGGGTTAGCTGGGCGTGGTGCGCACACCCAGAACCCAGCAGTGCGAGGCTGAAGCAGGAAGACGGCAGCTGAGTCTGCGGCCAGCCTGACTACATAATGAGTTAGTTCAAGGCCAGTCTGGATTACATAGTTAAGACCCTGTCTCAAAAACAATAAAAAACCCCAGGATTACACTTCAGAAGGTTAAGAGAACTTTTGTGTGATTGGAAACAGTAATATTTAATACTTCACATTTTATTGTAAATCTGCTTCAATTATATACTCTCCTTTTAAGTTGTGAAGTGTTCTGGGTTCATTGCAGTTAAAATAGGGGGCCAGGGATTTAGCTCAGTGGCATTAGAGCCTGCCTGGCAAGCATGAGGTTGTGAGTTCAATCCCTGGTATCGAAAAAAAAAAAAGTTAAAATAGGGCAAATAGATTTAAAATGAAGATTTAAAAAATATTTAAATCACTTGCTGCTATCAAGTCCAATTAGTTTGCATTAATTACTTTGAATTAAAACTGTTCTTCATAATCTGCCAAACCCAGAGTGGGGAAAAATCAGGTGATCAAAGCAGACAGAGCACAGCCCTGCAAAGAACAACTTTGAAAACAGGCGGCACTTGTGTGGAGAGAGAAAGGAGCCCAAAACAGAGCGACTTCAAGCTTGGGAAGCACCCCCAGAAGTGCAGGTGTGGCTCTGGCTGCGCAAGGCCATGCTCCCCAAGTTGGTCTGAGTCCACTCTGCCTCACCTTGCTGGCCAAGGGCACTGGGGCTGACATTTACGAGACTGGAACAAACGAAAGCCACGGATTTCCAATTTATAAAACTAAACTCTGCAATGAGGTTCTGTGAGTTTGTAGCTCTTCTCCTCCTGCTGTAGCGCCGTGGAGGGTCCAGGCGCAGCACAGCATACTGAGGACTGTAAAGCTCAAAACCGTGCTGCAAGCTGCGGACACTGCATAGCTCACTGTCCGAGTCTGCAGCAGACACCACGAGGCTGGCATCCTGGAAACACGGTAAGTCCCCGACTGTGGACGAGTTCCCTTCCAGGAAGAGGGTGTGTTAAGCTGGATTCGTTTTAAGTTGACAAAGTGAATCTTATACAGTTATCTGTGGAAAGTCCAACTCGAATGTTCCTAAATCAGGTTCTTACTGTGCCTTTTAATACATTTAACAAGAGGAAAATTATTAGAAAATGAGGCACCATTAATGGCTGACAAGAGATATGATGTAGACCCACTCAAGGTAGACAGTAATCTCCTTTACCTTGATGCCCTAAACACTCCAAAGTGCTAGTGGGCAGAGCCCACGGAGACAGAATGGCCAGCGCTGTCCAGCCGTTTTTGGCTTAATGTGTTTACACTGGGCCGCAGCTCGGATGTCCTGCTGCCGCACAGCTTGCATCCCTCGTGGTACTTGCACAACGCCCCACGCATGAATGAACTGCTTCTGCCACCAGTGGCACAAGCAGCCTGAAGAGATGGTCACGCAAGTACCACTAGGTCCCGGCCAGAGGGGAGGCCTCACACTGCCTGCCGACAAGGGGGGGCGGGGGCTGCACTTAGCAGTGCTACTGTCTGTCCCTCAGTGGCCTCACAAGTGTTTCAGCCTCGTGTTTGGGGCTGGGTGCTGCAGCTCAGTGGCAGAGGGCTGGCCTAGCACATGGCTAGGCCCTGGGTTCCATTTCCAGCACTGGGTCATTAAAAAAAGCCCTACTGTTTTCCTGTAATACTGCACTGATTTTGAAGGCATATGCAGCAATATGGACGGGGCAACAGGGAACATCAAAGTTACATTGTTAGTGTCTTAAAACCTAAAAATTTAAAGTAGTCATTTAAAAAACCTCAGCGACTTCTCAGCTACTGGCCTGCACACGAGCAGGCATCTGCGTGTGGCGAGGAGCTCTGCTGTGCATGATCTCTGCTGCGCACACTAAGAAGGGCCAGAGCGCTGCCGCCTTCCCTTCCATGCAGTGCACCTTCACCGTCCAGAGTCTCCTGAACTCGGGGTCTGTCTTCCGCTGAAAATACTCACTTTGCTGGTTTCCAGGCAGGAGAGGGTATTTCTCCAGGCTGTGTGGTTGAGGGGTTCATAACTTTATTAGCCCCGTGTCTCTTACGAGAGGATGGCATTAGAGCGCTGAACACCGATGAAGTTGTCAGCACTCAAAGATCTTCGTATCGCAGCCCTACACAAGTCTTTGTCTTCACACAATCTTGAAATGGCCTAGGGAAGACAAGCAGAACACACATGGAATATAAAATATTCCAGTCATACCAAAAGGAGCGCCACTGACTTGTCACACACATGTGTTCTCAGATACGTCACCCTTCCAGCTGCTGTGGCTACCTGAGGCCTGCAGAGCCAGGATCCAGGGGTGGCGACCTTGCTAATCCACCAAGGTAATGTCCTTCAGGGTGACGACTGGATTACCAGGAAGACGACTGGACTCAGTGACTTTAAAACTGGGTTCTCAAAGACATCCAAGGCATTGCAACAGGCTCCTCACAGCAGAAGGCCTGCCGCCACCCAGTCCTCATCACTAGGGAACTCTCTCAGCCCGCCAGTGAGGAACATGTGCAGCTGAGGGCAGGATGGGTCTGCACGCCCGATGCAGCCACAGGTTCTCCTTTAATGTGCACCGATTATGGCAGAAAAGCACAACTCTAAGATACCACCTCAGGACCACGGAGAGCGAGCGCCATTTCACAGTGTGCGTCTCCCTCAGTGGGGACACTCTGTGTGTGACCCACCAAACCCATAACCTAGAGATACCACTGTGACCCAGGTAAACACCAGTTCCATCACAAAGCTACACATCTCCCTCAAGCAGCGCGTAGCTGAGACAGACACAGGGCATCCTGGGCACAGTCTCTCAGCTCAGCCACCAGTGCTCTGTCCAAGCCCCGGGTTTGCACACGAAGCCACAGCCTGAGTGAGTCAGTCAGGAATGGCTGATAAGCGGTGTGTGCAGACACCATTCCGACACAGCTTCAGGAAGTTAGGGGCAGGGTTATGCAGAAGGGCAGAGGTTCAAAGGGAAACCAATGAACAGATACTTATGACTAAAAATACTCTGAGTAATGGTAAAAGAGGAGATAATATCTAATTTTTAGCAATGTATATCTTTTACAGACACAGGGCTGAAGATCTAGCTCAGCGGCATAAGCGCCTGCCTTGCAAGTGCGCAGTCATGAGTTCAATCCCTGATACTGGGGGGAAAAAAGAAAGATGACACTGGAAGTAGGATGCTAAAGGGTTAATGAACTTACTTTATTTAAAAAATGCAAAGTTTTATAACCAAATAAGAACAATAGTCATTACGGTATTGTTGCCTTCAAAGTACTCAGAGTACAAGATATAAACCAAAAAGAACGCGTATGAAACAGGCCGATGCACAAACTCTGAGTGAGCTACTCCTGTGAATCTGAATCCGACTCTCCCCCACCAGGTGGCCCCCCAGGCTCGCCCGCCAGGGAGCACACAGCCTTACCTCCAGGTTCTGTGCTCTCTCTTTGCTGAGTGGAGCAAACAGAAAATTGACGTTGTTGTCGTCTGCTAAGGAGCGCAGGTCAAAGTAGTATTTGGCATAAACGCTGGCGGGAACGTTAATATTAAACTGGAGCAGCTCCAGGAAGTGCCTCTCCATCTCGTTCCTGGGGAGGGACACAAAACCAACACGGGGCGGTCTCAGTCACCTGGGCCAGGGCTACCTCAAACCTCACATTCTGCTCTGCTAGGATGGCTCTAAACTCAGTTTTCAAGCACATACGGGCTCCCAGCTAGAATACTCCACTAGCGCTCCAGAGGCCAGCTACCCGTGGTCCCTCCGGCTGGCCGGGCGGTAGAGGGAAAGGCTGCGCCCGAGGCCACACTCCTCAGGGCTCCATTAGTGCAGCCGCCTGAGCCACTGCTCGCTCACTCCCCAGGCCCGCTGCAGGGCACAGATGAAAGGGCGATGTGTGCTGTTTATTAGCTCTGAAGAACCTGCAGACATTTGTACTGAGCTGATAACAGGAAGGGGCTTATTGAAGTAGAGATGCGCCAACAAAAGAAGTGGGCACATCACCACGGCAACAAATGGATCCATCTAGAGCCACCGCTATTATCTCTGGGGGGAAAACTCTTGAGGCAACAAGGACTCATCTCAAATAAATAAATAAGCTGCACTGGCTGGGGAAGGAAGTCCCTGCCCCGGCCCCAGCACTGAAGGCTGTGTCAAAGGACACAATGCAAGTTATTGCCCACCTTGACAGGTGACCAACTGTCATCACGACAATCCAGACCTCCTCTGAGACTTCAGCAGGCAGACTGAAACCGTGCCTCACCTGGACTAAGTCCATGGCAGGACGAGCCAGCCCTGGATTTAGTCCAGCAAGTCCTGCTCTGCGGCGGCAAAGTCCACATGTGTGAGGGGGCAGTGTCAGAGTGACCGCGGGCCCGGCCACCTGACCCCAGGGGCTCACATTCGGCACCCTCACCGCTGCACAGCGGTTTCTGCACAAAGTCACATTACACAAACTGACACTTAAACACGGGAGAGGCTCGTTTTATCACACACGCCATTTCCTGGCTTCATTCACACTTGGGAGTGTTTTAGCATCCAGTGGCCAAGGAAAAAGGTTGCTTGCCCCGTCCTAAGTGGGGAGCATCCAAAACGAGCAGAGATGTGCTTTCCTCATTTGTTGAAATTAAAACCAAACTGATCCTACTCCCATAATTAATTTCCTGTTCGTATGGAGCCTTGTCTATAGACATGTAAATCAGATGATGTTTTCAAAATCAGCTAATCAGGACTTAATTTACCACAGGAACGAACGCATTTCAGTATCCCTTTTATTTTTTCTACACTAATACATTTAACTGCAGAAACCCAGTACTTCATGGGATTAACATCCTCGGACAAGAGGCTTCCTCCTGTAGAAGGCAGTAGCCTCGGGAGCAGGGCGCTTCCAGGTTTTGTTACTGTCCCATCAGCTGAATAGCACAGCAAATGTTCTGCACAGGAGCTGCTCGGTTTACCCTACTCTTTGGAAGAGAAGTGTATTCTGATGAGACACACAGAATGGTGTGGAACTTTTAAGGAAAATATGTCACACGTGGCTTTTTAAAAAAAAAACTTTTTCAGTTAAGACTCAAAATGAGACCATTAGACAACAGCAGGGGCTCGAGACAAATGTACATCAAGCATTGCTGCATGCGTTCCCACTTCCAAAGATCATGAACCAAAATGGCCTAGGAGGGGCGCGGCTCCTGGGATTTCTCTGTCCACACACAAAACTCCTCTAAAACCGGCGCTGGGGCCGGCTCTGCCTTCTGCGCTGACACATTTCCCTGGAGCTGCTCTCCTCTTGTAACTAGAACAAAGCCCCAGCCAGCTCCGTCCTGAGAAAATTTCAGCAGCCATCCTGCAGCGCTAGTGCTCAGATGACAAACTCTGTTTTTTCCAAGGGACCAGTTTGCAGACTGATGACAAAGAGCAATCAAAGCCACTTAGCTTCTGGGACTTTCCTAAGTACTTCCACTTGTTTTTGAGTCTTCACTATATTCTGTGTCAGGACGGCTGACCCAGCGGGACCAGTGCAACCACTCGAGTTACTCTGCCATTGGAGGGGTCTGTCTTCCCAGCGCCCCAATACTACTCCTACCACCTACCCCTTTCTCAGTCCTAAAGGTCCCCAATTCAGCTGCACAGGTGGTGATTCTGAACCACAGCCTTATCCAGAACAGTGGGCAAAGGTAACAAAGTCAAACTCTTGTCATGATCTCAGGCTTCCTGTAAATGCTATGACCAGAGTGTCCCTAAATGCCACTCACAAAGATGCTTTTGCTGGCACCTGGGCACTCTGGAGTCCACTGGAGAACATCTTCCCTGCTCCCCACCTCCCTGCACCAGACTGCCCTGCATGGCGGCTGGACCAGATGGAAGCCCTCATCTCTTTGGTGTCTTGGTGCCACCTGTGAGGAGCCTCACACAGAGCAAAGTCCCCCTTGTCCCACAGGCAGCTCAGGGGCCCCAGAGTGCTGCTCAGCTGCCACAGGGCCCCCTGGGGGCTCCCGGCCCATGTAGCCATCACTGCACACATGGCAAGCGCCCTTGCTGGGGCAGCCAGGAGGGCAGGGCCTGAGGCCCTCCCCTCCCCTCTCCTGACCCCTGTCTTGCAGAGGGGGTGGTGGGACAGAGGCAACACACAACCAAGGTGTGGTTCAAGCTGCTGCCAAAACCCTTTCATTGTCCAGAGGCCCGAAGACCTTAACAGTGGCCACATGTCCGTTTCAAAATCCAGGTACATGCCCAACAAAAAGGGACTGGTACTGGTGGGCAGCTTTTAAAGAGCCATAAAGGTATACACTGTAGTATGTCATCCAGTGGTAAGCTTTATAAGATGTTTGGCAAAACACTGCCAGAAAAACTACACCAATTTATCAAGCAAGTTATTACAGTGATGACATGCCAAGGCCTACAAATCAGTGGTGGAAAACGAACTGTGAGGGGCAGCTGGACAGGAAGTATTAGTTTTATGCCTATTTCTATTATCTGCATGTGACATTTAAAAATGCTTCTTAAAACATATACTTTATGGGAGCAAATGAGGGACCGGAAGATGGTTATAAAGTTCACCAAAACCTGACAGACTCACATGTCCTCAACCGTAATGTCCTTGAGGATCTGGCAGTAGTCCACATTCCACACAGCCTGATCGTCCCACACCTTGGAGGCAAGAAGAATGGCTCCCAAAACAATTCTTTTCCAGTTAGTGGGACAAATGTCGATCTCAGCATAAGTTAAAAGCCTTTCTAAGTAAACCTGTAAAAGCAGAGCACTGGTCTTTGATTTTAGTTCATTTAAGAGCTATAGTAAGAACTGTTATGAATCACATTTCTTCCGAGTTTGACTGGAAAGCAAGTGCCTTTTACTTCTGAGTCCTAGAGATTTTGCTCAGTCAGAGCCAGAGGCCAGATTACAACTGGAGGTCAGACAGCACTGCTGCCCACTGGGCCTAAGACAGGCACTGCACCATGTCACACCTAGGGGTGGTGAGGCCCAGCCCTGCCGAGACTCCAGGTACTCGGACACCGAAAACCTCCCCTAGGGCAAGGTACCATGCAGAGCCAGCAGCCTCAGGGGACCTCACATTTTTATCTTCTGGTCACTGACTAACCGTCCTGTGACACTCGTGGAGGAAATGGTGGACAAGGGCGCCTCCCAGTGGCCACTGGGTGGACGGCACGGCAGGTACAGGTCTGGAAAACAGGCCTGGCTCCCTGCTCTTTAGGGGGAACAAGGGACAGCCCTGCCTGGAGCCCTTGGGCCCATCTCCGCTGTCCATTTCATAACAATGAATCTCTTACAAGATCTCCAACTCGAGATCAGTTCTGTTGATTTTGAGGTTTTTGAGCTGCCAGTCTGTACCCCAGGGATGCCTAAACTCGGCTGCTTGTGAGACAACCTCACAACTTTACATCCATCAAACACCAAGCCCCTGAGAACCAGATGAAGTTAACAGCTGAGTGAAGACAGAAGCTGGGAGCTGCTGTTACTTCTAATGACACTGAGAAAGTGGACAGCTGTGCCCCAGTGTCAGACGGGAGATCGGTTCCAGGACCGCATCTGTCTAGCACAGAAGGGTGCCAGCGCTGACTGTCCCAGGATCCGAGTGCCACTTGGATGTGCACCCTCCCTGGTACCTTCAGTCACTGCTGGCTGACTTACATTACCAGATGCAGGGTGGGCACTATGGAACTAGCAGTTACACTATGTAGTGTAGGAAATATGGATAGGAATTGCCCTGCAAATATTTTCGATCCACTGTGGTTGCAATCGCAGCAGCAGGGCCACAGACCCAGGGCAGGCTGTGTATGCTGTCCAGATACTGCACCCAGTCAGCAGAAATGGGCCTCATTCAAGGGTATGGCTTACAGCGGAAAGCCAGCAGCTCAGGACAGACAGGCCTCTCCAACACCAGGGCTACTGTGTGTCACATGGCCCTGGGGAACGTGTCCTCTCATCCCCAAACTCCTCGGCACTGCCAAGCATCCTACGAATGAACCTCCCTCGTAGAACTTGCAGCAAAACAACTAGACCAATTTTACCACTCTTGGCCACATTCCCGTGTCCTGGCCAACACATTTCCACTGCCTGCCCTGCTGTACCCAGGAAGCAACTCCTGTTTATGCAGTTGGCCCCTCCCACTTCTGCGGAACTCAGCTACTGAGTTCCGGCATCTCCTTCTGGGGGCACCTCCCCCTGCCAGGCTCTTCCCGCTACGATGTGCTCACGCTGCCTCCTATTTCCAGCAGGTCTTGGAGTGCTGCTTTTCACCCTGCTCACCCAACCATGCATCTGTTCTGAACTCACCTTTCATCCGCCTACTACCACTATCCCATGGCTAAAAGCACTCCTGGGACACTCAAGCTTATGACCCAGAGGCCTCCTCCCAGCTTGGCACTCCCCCAGGCCGGATAGGAAAGGACACGGCCACCTGCCTCCATGCATGAGCTGCCCCACTCCAATCTGTTGGCCGCTCTTGTCACCCACCCTTCACTGCGGAGCCCAGGGATCCCATCCTGAGTTACACCCAACCCTGCTCACTTACTCACTGTAGTTTCCCCGCTCTCCTCCTCTGCCTCCAATCTGGTTTTTTTGTTTCTTTATGGTACCAGGAATCGAACTCAGGCTTTGTGTTTACTAGGCAGGCACTGTGCTGTTGAGCTATGTCCCCAGCCTCTCTCTGCCTCTAACCTGCACCTTAACCAGTCTATACTCTCTCCAACGCACTCAAAAAACCCTCTCAACATGCTCCCACCAGCCAGAACCCCAGTGATACCCACTCGTCTGTCCCATCTGGAGAAGTCAGACATGTATCGGCAGACACTCACCATCCGGCACAAACACAATGGTCAGCCCTGCTGTGACCATGTTAAATTAGGAGCATTTTGCACTCCCTCTTGAAATCTATCAAAAGTCTAGCATCAGCCTAGAATTTAACCTCCTCCCGAGGCCTACCAGCTAACCCATGCTGTAAGACGGAGCCTGTTGCTCTTCCCGGAGCCCGAGAACTGCCTTCCTGCACTGGCACCTGTGCACCCCGACTTCCTCACTGTGGTCAGGCTGCTGATCAGCATCTTAAGTAGCTCCACCTGGCAGTTCTGTCTAGGACAGAAACCAGCTAATTGCCGTGAGCCGTCACCCTGGTTTACCTTCTTGGGATTTACCACCACCTGAAAAACATACTTAACAACATTCTCGGTCTTTTTCACTAGAACAAAAGCTCGCAGAGGCCCGAACTCTGTCTGACCTATTCTTTTCTCTACTCTAGCCCCGAGACCGTGATAAGGAGTAGCTCTCAGGCAGGCATCTGTGTACCCGGGCCACACAGCATTCTAACCACACCCTCCCTTAGCCGGCTTTCTCCTTCAGCACCCTCTCGTCACCCCTTAAACCTGATGGTGAGGATCTGTCTGAGTTCTGTGCATCTGAACAGCCACTCTTAATTCCTTACTTCTTAAACTCAGCTCCAGTTCCACAGCAACACTGTGCAAGCCTCATCTCTAGATTCTCACCGGATGCTACGCAGTAGGTACTGATCTGAGTACTTTCCCCCCAGGCCCTGCAGCTGACTTTCCACTGTGCACCTGCTGAGGGAGGAGTAGAACAATCAACCACTTAAACACCATTTATGATTCTAAATGCTAATCTCCCCTTAGGAATTCTGGATGACGCAACACTAAAGACCCACCTACAGCTCAGGAGGCGGGCAGGCCTTTCTAAGAAGTAGTACTATCATTATAGACAACTTCACAAGCAGACACAGGTCAGTGGGGGTGAATTAACACCCACAATACTAGGGTCAGAAAACTGAGGGCAATAATTCTTAATCACAACTGTCTGGGGTGCACACACTCCCTGGGACTCAGCTAGAACTGCACGGACATGGTCTGTGTGGACCACTTGGCTTTGTTACTGTTGCCTCCCCCATCCCCACTGTACCCGGAGTGCAGCACGTGCGTAATGAGGCACGGGGGGGGGGTGTCTCTCCCACTACCTTCAGTAGCAGCTGTTCTGTGATGAGAAAAGCAAAGGCAGTACTGTAAACCGTAGCGATTATCACACTCACGTATGTGTACTTACTTTTCTTTTTCACAGGTTTGTCTTAAAAGTTCTGATGATTATTTCAGGAACCTATTTTTATTAGAAAACCAAGACCTCACCCTATGTACAAGACCAATTTCAAAACATGCTTGATAAATAAGAATCTTACCAAAGTTACTATTGCACATTCAGCTGTTAGCTGTGCAGCACTAAAGAGAGTACGAACAAATCTGTAAATGAATTTGTGTTCAGGGTCATGCTTAAAGTACTCCTCTGGAACCTTCTCTCGCTGAAAAAAGAAAGAATGCACTGTAAGTATGCAGCAGGAAAACACTTCACATCCTCAGTGGCAGGCCACATGTACAGCCACAGCCCCCACAGACGCGACCTCGCCATGCCAAGCGAGGCGGCAGTACAGGCTGTAGGAGGATGAAGCTGCCTAGCGCAGCATCTCACGGAGTGTCCCACTCTTGGGTGACACATGACTACACCACAGTTCTCCACTCATTGTGCCACCCGGCAGCATTCATTGCAAGCAGACGTAAGCTCAGAAAATGAGTGCTCCTTTCCATGTTCCTGCCATGGGATTCTCCAATACATTTTCAGTTGAAAGTCTTCTTGTAATTAATGTCAATGCGAACCCAAACAAAAGGCATACAACTCAATGAGAAAAACAAAGTGACACTTACCGTGAGTGGATGTGACCGCTCATCAAAAATATCTAGGGATCTATTTGCATCTCTGTAAAGTAAGATGTACATTTAAAAACTAGTTCGGGAATCATTAATATCCTAGTAACAAATCTTTTAGGGGTAGAGGGGGCTGTCCAGAGAAGCCTAACCCTAACCCTTCTAGATCCTGGCCTTCAGACTTCCTTTGACTCAGCACAGAGAGTACTGTGAAAGCTCCCCATGGCGCCCGGCTGAAACTGCTGAGAGCACGGACCCGCTCTGGCCTCGCTGAGGAACGCTGTGCAGCTTCGCTCCTCGCACAGGGCAGCCCTGCTGGGCACTCAAGGCTCCTGAGCACCTAATATACGCGAGCCAGGTTTAGGTTTCCTGGTTTTCCTCTCTATAGTGCTCTCTGTTTTGATCACGTATTTATTTCTGTTAGCTCGCAAATAAAATTTAGTTGTTTTGGGGCTGGGGATTTAGCTCAGTGGCATAAGCACCTGCCTTGCAAGCAGGCGGTCATGAGTTCAATCCCCGGTACTGATAAAAATGAAAAAGAAAAAAAAAAAAAAAATTTAGTTGTTTTTCTAGAGACCAGTCTCAAAAACTCATGGAAGTAACACACTGCACTCACACAAGCTAGTGGTTCTGAGAGCTCCCTCAGGCTTTTCTCAGCAGATGCCAGCGGCCAAATGGCTAAGACCTCACGCTATGCTTCTCCCCACTTCTGGACACGTATATAAAAGGAAAAAGGAGTAAAACTCGCTTCAGGGCAAGAAATCAAGACTAAAGTACTAAGTCACAAGAACTGTCAATTCATTCCTCAGGGCTATTTGTATTTAAAAAAACCAAAAGAGCCAGGTGTGGTAGCACACAATGGCTGGAGTCTGAGGCAGAACAGTGCTGTGATTTCACAGTGAATTCAAAGACTGCCTAAATTATAGCATAAGACTATCAAAAAACAAACGAAACCAAAAAACCCAGGCCCTGCTTCTTTGATGAAGCAGCAAAAACTAACTAAGCAGCAAAAGCTAAAAAAAATCAAGATTTTGGAAAACTGGTACTTTCTGCTGCGTATCTGACAGCCTATCAATACTTGAAGACTTTGACACCATAAAAAGAAGGAAACGAGTGTTTTCCAAAATGACTAGTGCATAGTACAAAATCATGCACTGGTAAAAGATCTATCAATTATGCAAGATATAGTATATCAATGAGTATTAATGTTGTAAGTTCAGTGATACAATGTAAAATTCCACTGTAATTTAAGAAGTTAACCTTTGTGGTACTTAATACAACAGTAAAGAATATTCACAATTATCTGAAAGGTTTAAATTTTACCTGACTGTGTATCTCCATGAAACTAGGCTCTTTTTACTGCTTGTCAAAACAAAATTGTAAATGCAAACCAACAAATATTAGATTTTCAAAAATTAGCCATTTTCCAATCAACTGAAAAAGAAGCATTTAAAAAGCTGCAGCAGGGCCGGGGATATAGCTCAGTAGCACAGTGCTTGTTTGGCAAGCGCCAAGAGCAAGGTCTTAAGTTTGATTCCCAGTATTTAAAAAAAAAGCTGCAGAAGATGGTTCTTTTTCATGACAAGATATTTATGTCATCCAGGTGGTTCACCATCGAGGATGGGGTGGGGACGTCCCACGGGGACATGTCTGGCTGTCATGGTATGAAGGAGGGTGCTACTAGCAGGGGCAGGGGACAGTGGGACTCTTTTAAAAATGCCGTATAGCAGCCCCCACCACAGAATGATCTAGTTCAAAACAGCAGCAGTGTCAAGGCTAAGAACCCAGTGTTAACATGCCATATATATGCAGGTACATAAAATTATATATAGTTTATAATTTCGGTGTTAATTTCTACAACAGGAAACATCAATATAATCCCAGAAACAAATGTTCTTTGGGATTTTCAAGACCTTAAAAGTTTTAAAAGACAATTATAACAACAAAAAATTTCAAATGACTTGCTTCAGTACTGGAATAAATTCACACACAACACTGCCTGGGATTTAGCTCAACGGCATAAGCACCTGCCTGGCAAGCATAAGGTCAAGAGTTTGATCCCCGGTACCAAAAGCAAACAAATAAACAAACAAAAAACACGAATGTAGTTAAAAATCACATTAAAATGACACCTTATGATGTCTACAGTTATGATCAATACTATACGTGGTATCATGCATTTTAGCTGAAATAACAAGAAGGGTTTTTAAAGAGCTCACCTGTTCTTTATGTGGTAATATATTGCTAAGGTCACACTGTGAAAAGAAAAAAAAACTTCTTTAACAACTGTTTACATCACCTGTTAGACCTGAAGGCATCTGGAAAGGAGGGGAGCACCCCAGCATGCCTGAATTATCCAGTTTGCAATAGTATCACATGGACATTTCCTGTGTTAGCTTTTTCTTTTTTTTACTTTTAGCAAAAATAGAAAAATGCTGGGTAATGCACTGTTTAAAAGCCACATCTCTGTTGGTTACAGCATACACTGTGCATCCTCCATTTGCTTTTCCACCTTAAAACCCTCCATCCTGTGTGTGTTCCATGGATCTGCACACACGCGTAATTTTAAGCCGCAGTCTTTTTTAAAAAGTCAATGGTCCTCCTTGCATTTTACTTAGTTCACTTTTCACCTACCATTTTTCATTACTTCGCTCAAAAGGAAATAATAATGAAACTGCTGTATAACAAGTAACATCATTTAAAATCACTCTTGCATGATTATTAGTAGAAATGTATTAGTAACTTAAACACCTACAAACAAGGAGGTCAAGCTGTCCTGAAATAATGTGACACCCACGCAGTGTGACCACACAGTGTCACCCTGTCAGGCATCACAAGTGAGTTTAAGTGAAGTATTAGTGAACAACGCAGCTCTCCAGGTGTCACATTACCACGCCCCAAGTTAGGCACGGATGTGGTGCATCAGGGAGCAAGGCGTGCTCTGGGGCGCATCACATGCTTCCGTCTGCCCTCACTGTTTACAATGAAGCTCAGGCTGGGGTACAGCCCAGGGGCACAGGGCCTGCCTGGCAAGCACCAGGGCATGTGTTTGATTCCCTGTACCACAGAGAGAGAGAAAGAGAGAGAGAGAGAGAGAGAGAGGGAGAGGGAGAGGGAGAGGGAGAGAGGGAGAGGGAGAGGGAGAGGGAGGGAAATAGAGAGAGAGAGAGCAAAAGAAGCTCAAAATAACTGAGGGGAGGCAAGTCTGAATTTTAAGTCTATACAGTGTTTTAAATTTTAAAATTCCTAAGGTCTGTAACACTACTGCCGTCAAAGATGGGTACTTATATAGCATTTCAGCTTGGTTTGGTTTCCAAACTGAAAAACCACAGACTCTGACTCATGTGCTGAGAGGGCCATCAAGCCTTCTGGAACACTGTGTCTGACACTCCACTTGACAGGCAAGGGGACCACGGCGGGCACCAATTCGGCACAGCCCCACAGAGGAGCCGCTTCCCTGGCACGGTCAGCAGGACAGCAGCAGGGGAGCTTGCCACTCCGACAGACGGACATGGGGTTCGGCCTGGAGCCTAGGCTGGTTTCCTGCAGGACCCCAACGTGCAGCAAAGGTTGGGGCTGACTTAAGAATTAGGTTAGGGGGCTGGGGATTTAGCTCAGCGGCATAAGCACCTGCCTTGGAAGCAGGCAGTCATGAGTTCGATCCCCGGTACCGAAAAAAAAGGAAAAAGACAAAAAAAAAAAAGAATTAGAATCAGAAATGCTTTCCTCTGGATAATTATACTGCATCTTCATCCCTGACTTCCTGGAGGCGTGTGAGCACCCACAGACAGCAAGATTTTGGAAAAGCTGTGTGATTCTAGTAAGGTTTACCTACTTAGAACTACTACCCCATGACATTAAAAAAAATCTTTCATGAAATCCAATCTGCCCTATTACTTAGAGAACAGTTATTTCACCAACAGTTACTGTACTAATTATTTTTAAAACGTACTGAAAACAAACTGAAACAGCTTTACTGTACTGCAGACTTATGGGGAACAGTGTGAGGCGGGCATGAAACCTGCTTGCTTGAGCAAGGTCCCTCTCCCGGACCCAACACTGCACAGCGCAGTGTGCAGATTCCAGAGACGCCCGGGCCTTCACTCAGACAGAGTGGTTTCACCCACGGGGTTAGGGCCTTGGTTGAACACGGAGCACATTCAGTGATTACTGCATAGGTGCCAACCCTCAGGACTTCAGACAGGCTCAGCTTCTGCTGATGCACCATTTGACCTCGACTACTGTAAATGTGGAAGGAAAGTTATACTGCTTTGAGTGTGTATTTGTAGTTTTTAACAGAAGTCATTGGTAATTTAAATGAACTAAAAATTAAATAGCTGACATATCAGAAACAAAATTAAGTTTATAAACTAATTACATTTTTGACTTTAAAGAAAGTTAGGGATAAAGATAATAACATTCTAAAACGGTGTTTGTAACCTGTCTTCTGAAAATCAACACCCACAACCCAAGAAGATAGTAGCAATGTTCCTTGAACAATTCCAATGGAGCAGCAGAGTTGCACACTGGTTTTGTTGTCATTTTAAAAAGCATAAAAGGTTCCTGTCTGGACCTTCTGACAACATATCTTCAGTTGTGACCCATGTGCACCAGTAATGGGGAAAAATTCAAACACAGGTACACTGCAGTGTCGGCAGAGGACAAGCTGCTCCTCCTCCCACAAGTGATCCCCAAAGTGATGACCGCTGCTTTAGGCCAGCAGCCTCACAAAACTACTTTGTTGTAGAAACATCCAATAAAAAGCACTTTGTATTATGTTCAACAGTGTCTTGGCAACATAAATGCATCAAATAAAGAGGTACACCTTTCTTGGGATTCCCTTCCACCATGCAGGCTGAGATTACAATGGAAGCTGAAAAAATAACATTTAGGTCCTTAGACTCGGCATATGATTGCCCTCACTTCTCAAACCGAACACTGAGAAGGACAATCCAATGGCTGAAAGTACCCAGGATGGCTAGGATGCTTTCAGCAGAAGGGGTGTGCCACTTAGCCCTTGGCAACCTAGTAGTACTCACCATTTTATTGTGGTTCTAAGATTAGGCTGACTGACTGTGCTGTCATCCAGAAATATTGTTGAGCATGAGCTATACTTTTTAGTAAGCTGCCCTGGAGACACCTGAAGGGGAAGGGAAATAGAAGAAAATGTCACAGTACGTTAAACCTATAAAGTGTGCCCTTCTCCTGGGTTACAATGTCAAACGATAAGCATTAAGGTATTTCTTACACTGCACAAGCTGCCTGAGTGAGACTCACGTGGCCCCTACAGGAACCCCCTGGAGGCTCTGTGCATCAGGGCTGCTCAATTATCAGTGAGCCGCAGCCACAGGCTGCTCTAGGCCTGTTCCCCGGAGGGAGGGTAAAATGACTACTTTTTAAAAGATCCTCTCACAAGCAAAACAGGTGACAAAACACAGCTTTGGAAATTTAACCTTTACCTCATGTGGAAGCAGACTGCCATTACATCACTCAGGTGAAAACCTTGGCCCTCCACCTCACACAGGCTGCTCTCAGCTTGGAATGCCTTTTCCTCCCCCTGTCCAGAAGCTTGACCCCAGTGGCCACTGCACAAAACACTTCCTTTTCTGTAAACTCATCCTCCAATTCACATTGCTATAGGACATCAACTGCCTGCAGAGGATCCTCTCCCCCAGAAACTGTGTTTCTCCAGAGGAGGATTCTCACAGCATCTACTTCCTGCTGCTGAGCACAGAACATGGGACAAATCAGTGTTTGACAAAGTATTGTTTAAGAACCAATTATGATTTGGAAGGTAAGTCAGACGATAGAAATTTATCAGTGAGAATTCAGCTACAGTGGTTGCACCGATCTTTAAAACACTTTAGAAGTATCCATTTATTTGCAAAGAATAAAAGAATAGGGGCTAGGGATTTTAGCTTAACAGCGTAAGTGCCTGCCTTGCAAGTACGCAGTCATGAGTTAGATCCCTGGTAGCAAAAAAAAGGAAAAGAATAAAAGAATGTAACAATAGTCAACTACTGCAACACCCTAAGCTATGTTGACAATTTCTTCCATAAAAGAGAATAACCAAGTCTGGTCTGAATAGCTCAATTATAGCAACATTCTTTACCACAGACTTTAATGTTCTAAAAATATTAGACACAAACTTTAATGTTCTAAAAAAAAACCAACTAATTCAGATGAGCCTTCCTTCGCTCTGTCACTACAGTGGCTTCCATCCAGCTGCCACTCTCTCCCACCAGTTCTCAGGGCCAAGAGGATGGGGCAGACAGCAGGTAAACGCCAGCGGAGCCAGCTCAGGACGCCCACAGAGTGGGTGACAGCCACTGCTAGCTCAGTTATTTTAGCTGCCAGGCCACTTACTTATTCACACAAAGACCCAGACATATTTCTGAAAGGTGTAACTATTTGGAGGGCTAAGTTCTCTTTCAAGCTACCACAGTATCTAAACTGATGTTTCTTAAACTGTTCAGTTAAGATGTACATATTAACTGTGCTAATGTGTATATGCTTTAATAATTTCAAAAAACAGTATAAACAGAAAAAGTGATTTATTCAAATATTTTTATTAAATATGAAACATATTTTTAAGGTCACTAGTACAGACTATCTTAAATTCAAATTATGCAGCATCTAAAGTTTTTGGATTTTTAAAATAAAAATAATCTTGGGGATAGGAACTATACGTGTAAACACAAAATTCACTTATGTTTTCATATACATCTTACATACAGAACCTAGAAGTGATTTTATACAGTATTTTCAGCAAACTTGTCACATGAGGTCAGCTGGGAATTTTCAATTTTCAGTGCCATGCTAGCACTCAAAAAGTTTTAGATTTCTGGAGCATTCTGGGTTTCTAAATTAGGGGAGCTCAATTGGGTGTAGTGGCACGCCTGTAATCCCAGCACGTGGGAGGCTGAGGCAGGAGAATGCCTGCAAGTTCAAGAGCAGCCTGAGCTACAAAGTGAGCTAAAACTGGCCTGAATTGCATAGCAAGACCCTGTGTCAAAAAAGACAAAATAAATTAGGGGTACTCGATCTGTCACAGGTAACATGGCAAATACTCCATCACTAACAAAAGTAAATTCTGATGAAAAAAATCTCTACATGGGAATAAAAAGAAGAGTGGATGGAAATGAATCAAAATATAGACTAGCTGGTAAAGCTTTAGGTGCTGATCATGTCTCCCATTTTCCTTTCCAGGAAAATTGTTAACAATTTTCCTGTTATGAATGTACACTGGTTTGTCTTTCAAAACACTGCTGCTTGCAATGAGATGTGATCTCACAGCCCTATGGGAGGTCACTAAGCAAGTCAGCAACCTCCTAGACTCAGCCCAGGACAGCCAAACACCTCCCAGTCAAATCAGGCTTCCTCTCATGGGCAGGGAAATACACTGTCGCCTGCCAATGACATGATCAGGAAAGCTGGCAGTAGAGACTCTCTGCTAAGCAGTAGCAGCAGGGGACATAAACCACTTCAGCTTTTCAGTCTGTAGACCAGAGAACGGCAAAATGAAGCCTCTTAGTAAAGTCTGGGAAATAGCTGCCAACAGGTTAACTGTCCCCTCATCCTGCTTAAAAGACAATTTCCTTTTATGGTTAAACCTTACCATTGCTGGCTCACAACCTTAATGAAATACACTGAACTGACAAATGTAAGGCTATACAATGCAAATATTAAAAGGAGCAGCAAAAACCCCACAGGCAGGTGGTTATCAAAACAGACAGTAACATTTATCTTCAGTCAGCACAAGTGATAAGAGTATGGAATTTTGCAACCTTTACAGGAAAGGAAAGCCGGTACTGAGAGGGTCAAATGACAACTAGAAAATCATTATATGTAGCGGTCTACCAAGTCTCAACCCCAACCTTCCCCAGTAAAGAGGAAGTACTTAAAATCCTATCCCCACCCACTGGCTTTTCCTCATGTGCCTACTGGCCTCTCTTTTAACCTATTAAAAAAGTAAAGGCATTCGCTTTCTTCTTTTCTTTTTTTTTTAGTACTGGGATCAAAATCATGACCGTGCACTTGTGAGGCAGGCACTTACACAGCTGAGCTAAATCCCTGGCCTGACTTTCCTCTTTTTTACAAGACATGCTGGATTTAAAAAAAAAAAAAAAAGGATTAATGACTTATCTGCATCATGAATACTGGGACAATATGGCAAGATGCATGTTTTGAACAGAATTTTAAGACCTCTGTATATGCTAATTAGAGGTACAGTTTACAGAGTCTGGGTTAATATCACTGAACATATGGAATTTAAACTAAGATTTACACTTTAAGCTTCTTTTTTTAAATTTTATTTTATTTTTATTTTATCTTTTACCGGTACCAGGGATCAAACTCACAACCATGCAACTTGCAAGGCAGGCTGAGCTAAATCCCTAGCCCCCACTTTAAGTTAGACATGGTGGGCTGACCACAAATATTTCACCTTCTTCCTGAAACAATAAAATAAATGCTATACACCAGTCAGAAGAGACTTCATCATTTTAATTCTTTTTTTCTTCTTCTTTTTGAGACAGGGTCTCACTATGCAGTTCAGGGTGGCCTTGGGCGCACTTTATAGTCCCAGCGGGTCTTGAACCTGCAATGATCCTCCTGCCTCAGCCTCCCAAGTGCTAGACTACAGTTGTGCACCACTATGCCTGGCTGACAATGTTAATGTTTGAAAGACGCAAAGTCGATAAAGGGCTGCAAGAACACGAAGAACAGCGGAAACCAACTCTGGTGGTGAAAGGTGACTGGGACAGGAAGAGGCCGGTCAGCAGTGAGTCCAGCAGAATAGGCCCTCCCCTCGGAGGCCACACAGGAGCCCGGAGTGAAACACAGCAAAGGGCAGGAAGGAGGGCGGAGATCGGCGGGCAGAGCCCAGGCTTGCCCCCCTCCACCTGCGAGGTATCGAGGCATTTATTCTCTAGAGATACTAACCCTGCTTGCTGCCTGGTTTCTGGCCCCAGTAAATCACTCAGGTGTACCTGGCCTGAATCCAGCAGGTAGGAGGGACAAGACTGCCCCCTACACACCGGGCTCCACCTCCTGGCCACTTGTGTTGCGCAAGGACTGGGAGCTTGCTCTGGCGGGCTCTGTCCCAGAGGACACCAGGTGCCACAAATGCAAAGCTGGCCTTGCCTTGCAAGGAGACCCATCAGGGAACCAAAGTCCCACTCCAATGTGGTACTTCCGATTCAAGAACACCCTGAACACCTGTGGCACAGCCACATGCTTGCAAGAAGGTAAAACAACAGGAAAAAGGAGTTTGTGAGAGTGCTAAAAGTTCAGGAGCAAATGAAAAGCTGTTTAAAAAATTCAACAGGAGGGCTAAAGCACAGCATCAAGGAATCCCTAAAAATCAGAACAAAAAATTGCAAATAAGAGGGCAGAGAAATTTGATATTGGTTTAGAAATACTGGTCTAAGAGGCCTAGTAGCTAAATAAAAAGATGGGGGAAAATATCAACTATTAAAAAAATACTCCAGAAGAGAAAATCTGCAGAATTCATAGACCCAACTGGATTTAAGGCCCCATAATAAACTATCATGAACTTCCGGCACTCCAGAGAAAGATAAGATATTAAACGCTCCCAGAGGAGTGATGGGGAAAATGATGGTGCCTGGTTAGGTACAATGTATCATACAATGAGGAAGGATTTAAGAGCAAACCTCAAATGAGATGAACACTGTTGGAGTAGACAGGACTTTTCCCACAAGTGAGACAGACAAAGCCACCTACACACCTTCCCCAAGGGAATGTGCTGCAGAGCACTCGGTGCTCAGGAGGCTGAGGCAGGAGCACTTGGGAGGATCACCCAGGGCTCAAGACCAGCCTCAACTACAGTGAGACCCTATCTCAAAAGACAGACAAAGAAATATGTTCTCATAAAACAGAGTTTCGCAAGACAAGGGAAACAGAATCTAGGACACAGAGGATCCAGCACCAGTGCACAGTTATGTGATGACCTCAAAGAGATGCCCCAGAGAAACAGCAGACCTAAGGACAAAACATCTACAATACTGGAGGGCACTACGACAATAGACCAAGGAGGGCTGCCTCAGGAGAGAAACGAGACACACGTGTTTTAGGAGATGGAAAATATTTTTGATAGGCATGTGACAAATGTTACAACACTTCTGGAGAAAAATAGTTAGAAAACAGACAAGTGAAAATAGGAAATTAATCCACAAAACTGAAGGGATATGAAGGGGGACCTGCCAGGGGTGGCTTACTGTACTGAACCCTGGGACCCAGCGTTGGCTAGGAGAAGACACCTTATGGAGGAAGAGGAAGAGGACAGACATGCTCCATCTCAGAAGCTGTAAGAGGAAGAATGAAAAACACACAGAGCAGCCCACGATACCTCGAGACTCGGCAACCAACCATCCAAATGTGAGCATCAGTGAGTGAATTAAAAATTGATACAGGACACAAAAACAAGTAGGGTCACAACAGAATGAGGACGCTAATGTTCACCTACTGTGACAGGAAAACAACAGAACTAAACACTCATGTATTGAATAGTTCACTATGATTGAAAAGAAGACTAAAATATTAGGACAGAAAGTTTCAGGCAGATCTTTACAATCATTTTATCAAATTTGACTAAAACACCAGAAACCCTTAACAATGTACATTTTAGGGCTGGAGATTTATTCAGTGGCGTAAGCATCTGCCAGGCAAGCATGAGGTTGTGAGTCCAATCCCTGGTATCCAAAAAAAGAAAAAGACTTTTCTCAGTTTAATATTTACGGAAATAGGAGAGATTTAAAAAACCTGCAAGACAGGTAATAACCAAGTCACCATTATATTTCTTAGAAGTCATGACTGATATACTTTTAATTCAAACTATTAATTTCTTTTTTTAAAAAAACTTAATTTCTTAACTTTTGAACTGTTTACTTACATGGTTTAAATGGTTGCTCTTCCTCTTTTCACGCACTAAGAATAAAAAAATTAACTGATCAATTCTTATATAAATGCTGTAGAAAAATAAAAGTACCTATTAATTATCTGATGGGTTACCAATATGCAAAGAGATAAAACTCCATTTTTAAAAATAATTTCTAACAAAATTAGTAATTTAAATCACTGGGAAAATAAGCTCTATAAAGTAAAATCAGAATTATTTTTGTTTTTTATGCAACAGATATTATGTTTAAATGAGAAACTCTACATGCAAAAGTGCAAAACAAATTGGACCAGGTGAGCCATCCTGCTCATAAGAAGTTCTCACACCTACTGTATGTCTGAACTATTAAACAGGCTCCCAAGTAAATGGTATTCCAGCTCTGCATTCCCATACACCTTAAGGACCAAGCAGCTGACCACCCACTCTAATGGACTCAGGGTGTTACTGAAAACATTAATGGGCCCTTAGACAACAGAAAGGCAACCTATCTTGGATTTACATTGAAACAGTGCGCTGTTAGCTGAACCCTGAATGGAAAGCTCTAACACGGCCAGGGGAGCGACCGCTGCAGACGCTAGGCGGCGCTGCAGGCCCACGCACCTCTCCGCGGGAGCGTGGCACGGGGAAGCTTGGCCAGCCTCGCTGCGTCCCAGAAGCCCAGCACTGAGAATCTGAGTGCGAACCTTAAGGACCAGCGCAAGGCAGGCCAGGGCACATGCAAGCTGTGACAATGCAGGCACAGAAACCCGGTGCTCAGTGCTTAAACACTCGCTGCTATGCTCCACTAAAATCTGGTCATATATGGCTTTTCTGGGGGGAAAAAGGATTTTAAATAAGTATGATAGGAAAAAACTGTACAGTGCAGGAAAATCGTATAGTTCTTATTATTACCCTAAAACTATCAGGACACAGGAAACACACACTAGTTTCCTGCAGGCTAACCAGGAAACTGGCGGGCCAGCACACGGTTTGCATCATCTTAAGAAGCAACACTTCAAACAGCTTAAAAGTTCTGAGTAACAGAAATGTGGACGGATTAGAGCACTGCATAAAATGAGTCAAATACCCCAGTCAAATTCTTTATATATATATATATAAAGAACTCAGCTGTAAAATCTGTTCCCATGAAAACCTAATCCAATCTAAGCTGTCATGTGTCTTTAAGTTCTATGGAACACGAGGAAAAAGGCCAAACAGTACAGAATACCAAGTCCATGACCACTGATAAATCATGCAGTCTACCACACTGATAAAGAGCTGTGAAATGTATAAACAGGAAGGCCACACGTTCTCAATGGAAGAGTGACAGAGTAATTATCACGTATTAAATAAGTGAAAAATTTAAATCAACGCATGGCATTCTTCAAAATATTTTTTATGCTCTATCACATAAAATATAGTTTTCAGCCATATGCTTAATGGGAAAAACATGTCTTACCGTCTGTTTGAGATTTGCTCAGGAAAATTGTGCTTGCCCTTGGATGGTCAGAAGGGTTTGATTCCAAAGCTAAATCTACAGAGGAAGAAAAAGAGATGTGATAATTTAGTTCAGTAAAAACACTGATGGTTTTAAAGTAGCTACACAACCGCTTTAATCACATTTTACAGTCTGGAAAAGTTTTTAGTTATACATAAAATCAGACAATATAAAAATTCTATTGTGGAAGTATAAAATTGTAGAGTCGCTATATACATGTAGAATAAAAGTAGGCTCTGTCTTAGGCTTTTAAAAACTTGTAACAAAGGGGCTGGGGATTTAGCTCAGCGGCATAAGCGCCTGCCTTGCAAGCAGGCAGTCGTAAGTTCGATCCCTGGTACTGATAAAAAAAGAAAAAGACAAAAAAGAAAAATTAAAAACTTGTAACAAAATAATCGAATGCAACTTTTTGATAAATCTAATGGAGGCACCTGCCTGAAATCCCAGCACCAAGAGGCTGACATGCAAAGATCACAGTGAGTTCCGGGCCAGCCTGAGACGTTCAACAAAACAAAGCTAATAAAAAAGACAAAAAGAAACTGATGTTTAAACTTGTTTTTAATTCCAAGGCTCCATACTTATTTCTTTTGCCATATACCCCCCTCCCTTGGGACTAAAGAGAACATTCTATTTGGTTAAGACTACAGATTCTTGAATTTTCATAATATACATTTTGCCATTGTTTTTATGGTACAATAAAAGTTATCATGGGGTGAGTGGAGAACCTTTAATATTCTTTAGTACTATTCTCAAGCCACTTAAGCAATTTTGTAAGACCTAGCCTGAATAACTGCATGTCAATAATAGTTCTATTTTTTAAAAGGGAGGTTCAAGGGGTTGGGGATTTAGCTCAGCGGCATAAGCGCCTGCCTTGCAAGCAGGCAGTCATGAGTTCGATCCCTGGTACTGATAAAAAAAAAGGAAAAAGACAAAAAAAAGGGGGGGGGGAGGTTCAGTCATCAAATCACAACATACTACACAGCTTACAAAATCAAAATGCACACTGATACATTAAAAACTAATGCATCTACTAGTGACAACCATCTAACTTTAGCTCACCCCCTTTGAGCCTTGCTCTTCCCCTGCTCAGGTAACACGGTTAGAATCTTGGAGGAATGTAACTTGGGACTTCCCGGTTAACAGGACGCCCAGGTCACTGGACACTCATATAGTTAAAGCAGATGCTCTGCTCCTCAGGAAAATTCTTCACTCAGGTTTACTGAACTGCTTTTGAAGAAAACCACTGTTAAGAAAAAGACTCACACAAAAAACATTTTACCAGTGTTTTCACATCTGAGATGATGAGACAGCGTCAGCCATGAGGAAAACTAAAATCCTGTTGTATGCAACATGAGAGGCAGAGCTTTTCCAGAAGAAAGCAAATACAGTGCCGCTTGGGATTCAGATGATACTAAACTACCACAAAACAGCTTATAAAAGATCTGCGGTACACAACTCAAAATTTTCATGGAAGTCCAGGAAAATTAGGTTTCAGAGAAGCAAGCTTCACACACACACACACACACACACACACACACAGATCAAAATGAGCTACTATGGATCTAAAAACAAAAGTCAAAAAGGCTGGGCTAAAATAAATGACAGTAGGCAGAAAAAAGGAAGATCTAGCTCAAACCAGTCTAGCACTCCCTTGCACCCAGGGATTTAGGGTGGTCATATGACCCCGGGCTGGTCAACCAATCACAGCTCTCTCGAGACTTCCCAGGAACCAGAGGAGAAAAGCAGAGCAGGCCAGGAAAGCCTTTCAGGAGGGATGAACAGAGAGAAGAGAAGCGAGACACAGCCCTAGGTCACTTCGCTTCCGAACCAAGCTGTGCGGGAACAACCTGCGAACTCCGGGGCTACACAAGTCTACTGAGACAGATCATCATCCTCCTGTAAGAAACCTGGTTATTCGGAGGAGCACACTCCAGGTGGAGGCAGTTAAAAGTCAACTGCTGAGCCAGCATGGGTGGTTCACACCTGTAATCCCAGCACTCAGGAGGCTGAGGCAGGAGAATGATTACAAGTTCGAGACCAGCCTGGGCTACCAAATGCTCGCAAGGCCAGCCTGAATGCATAGAGAGACCCTGTCTCAAAAAGAAAAAAAAAAAAAAGTCAATTGCTCATTTAACAAACGCCATGAACAGAAAATTGGCTATTGGTACAAGCACCGCCACTACTTTTAGTTTCTTATGCATGTTTTAAAAACAGCTGCTGGAGAATTACAAGCATCGTATCACACCAGTACATGCTCACCCATGTATAAACTTTATAGCAGCAGCTTGTAATAGCTAAATCTTGGAAACAAACCAAATGCCCATCAATTGAGGAATAGATAAAAAAGATGTGGGGTTTTTTTTTTAGAGTGGAGTACTACTCAGCAATGAAGGACAAACTTGAGACATTCCTAGGTCAATGGACATATACCAAGACTATACCTAAGTGAAATAGACACACGTGTAAATATTGCTTCATTTCCTTGGTGTGAGAAACCGAAAGGGTAACTAAGGACCAAAGTATGATAGGTAACGTGAAACAGGAAGAAACAGTTTTAAAAGAAAGTGAAACTCCTAGGGAAGGGAGAAAGGGAAAAGAAGGAAAGGGAAAAATTGATAAAAGGAGGATAAAATGGAAACAAAGCTTTGTAAGTGAGGACACGAAGAGTGGTTGAAGGGGATTGGGAAGGAAGAAAAAAAAAGAAAACAATGATGTAACTATCCACCATGCATAGGCACAAATTCCCTATGATGAATGCATCATTGTATGTATCTAAATTTTACCAATAAACTTAAAAAAAAAAAAAAGGTCTTGGGCAGAGAATGTAGCTCAGAGGTAAAAGCATTTGCCTAAGGCACGGAGTTTGATCCCCAATACTGCAAAAACAAAAAAACCAACGCCCCCAACCACACCAAAAATCCTACCGGGATACAATTTATGTTCTGCTAGAGAAAAATGGTCTCCGCCCCTTTCCCATATATTTACTGTTTAACATATAGTGATGTATGTACCAAGTATTACTCTGATGCTTTACTTAGCCTTTATCTGAGAGTTTATACTCTTAGAAAACTTAAGCAAAACCAGCACATATATAGCATTTTTAAATTATTTTTTTCTCTTTAAAGTGAAGAGACCAGAAGGTTGGACTGATTTCAGTGACCAATATGTGATGCTAGGACTCAGGCAGGCACCCAAAGCGCATCAGGGCACAACGCTGCCAGCTGTACAGGTTCTAACTCCCATCCTGGCTTTGCAGCCTTTAAAGTCCTGCTGACCGGAGGGACAAACATCACTTGGGAGTAATCTGCCTGTATTTAACTACACAGTGCGAACACTCTCCTGTAGCTAACAAAGATGCTTTTGCTTTGGTGATTTTTATATCATTTCACACACACTGTAGATACTGAGTTCACCAGGGCCTTGACACTGTCACCTGTATGAGGTTCTCTGAAAACACTAATTTCACCTGTAGCCCATGAGTTTTCTCTGTAACTTCTACTTTCTGCTAGTGATAAATACAACACCTTGCAATTTTAAAGAACAGACATTTAAGCCACTAGGCAGTAAATTCACACATTAGTATCACTCTGTACTCTCCACTAACTGTTCCTAAGAATCAAAGGAGACTGATGAACCACTCTCTGTACTTTCACTTCTGCAAGACTACCAACTAGTACAGCCAGCATTAGGCCCTATAAACCTGCACACACACGCATGCACGCGCATACACACACACACACACACGCACGCACACTAAAGAGAGATGCCAAGGAAATAAAAATGTCAATTACCATGCATCATTTATGTGATGCCTTTAAAAAAATGTAATAAACCTAGTTTTACTTAAACTAGGAAAAAGATTCTTATCTCGTGATTCAGGATTATGATTAAATCCCCACTGTAAGAGCCACCCCTTTGCTATTAGTTTAAATTGCAATTTAATTTGACGGCTTATTGGTATGATGCACGAAAAACACAACTTAAACATTTTAAATCTATTCTTAATTTAAATGTCATAGAGGAAAAAAAATCTGTATAATGTTACTATCTAGTACTGCTTTTCCCCAGCCTAATATAAAACAACACTGAGATTCCATCTCACCCCAGAAAGAATGGCTATCATCAAGAAACCACCAACAGCAAATGCTGGACAGACTGTGGGGGAAAAGGAACCACTGCTGGTGGGAGTGTGGGCTGGTATAATCTCTGTGGAAATCAGTGTGGAGATTCCTCAGAAAACTAGGACTGTGGGCCAGGGATTTAGTTCAGTGGTACAGGTACCTACCTGGCAAGGGTGAGTTTGTGAGTTCGATCCTTGGTACCAAAAAACAAATAAACTAACTAACTAGGACTAGGACTAGGACTAGAGGTCCCATTCAACCCAGCTGTTCCCCTTTTGGGTATCTTCCCAAAAGAATTAAAAACATCATACCACAACAATATATGTGCACTCATGTGTATAGCAGCACAATCTGTAATAGCCAGCTCTTGGAAACAACCTAAATGCCTATCAACTGAGGAATGGATAAAATGATGTAATTTTTTTTTTTTACAACAGAGTACTACTCAGCTGCAAAGAAGGATAAAGTGAAGACTTTTATAGGTAAATGGATGCATCTTGAGAACATACTCATTAGTGAGATAAATAAGACACACGTGTAAACATATTGTTTCATTAGTGTGAGAAACTTGAAAGAAAAAACACATGTATGTATATGTGTATAAAAATAATAAGACAGTTATACCACTGATTTCTCTGAGCTCACTAAAGAGAAAGATCTTTTTTTTTTTTTTTATCGGTACCAGGGATCGAACTCACGACTGCCTCCTTGCAAGGCAGGCGCTTATGCCGCTGAGCTAAATCTCCAGCCCCAAGAGAAAGATTTTTGCGGGTATTGTTTGGACAATTGAAGGCAGATGCCTTGTGCTTTAGGTGAATGATCTGGGGATGATGATAAGCAATGTATGCACCACTGATGTGTTTTGAAATTTTGTTGTAGTTTTTTTTTTTCTTTTCTTTTTATTTTTATCCTTGAAATAAAATGGATTGGGGGGGGGGGAACACATGCAACTTAGAAAAAATGAAAAGCATTACTGAAAGCTAAAAGTGTTAAACTTATGAAACTGTAAGCTGTTATGAAAATGGTAAAACATTACAGCACGTGGGCAGTGACCAAATGCTACCTGACAAAACTAGCATGTTTCAGAAAAAAGAGGCTGATTGCAGCACACCCCAATTAGAGATGACGCCAGCAGTCTCTGGGCCCACTGCTGGGCACCTGCTGCATTTACTGACCTGCTCTGCAGTCCTGTCTGTTCCTCGTCCCTAGCGCAGATGCCTGCCCCCGTCCAGGTTCCCTCAGCCTCCCAAGGCACACACAGCTCCACACGCCCCATCTCCACTCCTGCCCAGCTCCCCCAGCTCTGGCTGCTGTGCACTCCCGGGTGGGGTCTGCCTCTGCCTCAGCTCTCAGTCCTGCCCTGTTTAAACCTCGATCGGTGTCTTAGTGATTGTGACTGAAACCTAACTTTCCACATACTGCAGTACACTTTTTTTTCTTTACATATGTTTAGGAGCACTTTACTCAATTTCGAGGCCATGAGTTCCATTTCACTATACATTGCCCATTGTTACTGTTTTAACTAACGATTAATCACCATAGTATCTAGAAAAAGGTGACAGAAAAGACAAGAACTAAAGAAGCCCAAATGAGTCGTCTATAAATTCTACATCTATAGGCATACTGACCTACCAAGCCATAGTCTAAAAAACCTGGAAAACTCAATTTACAGGTAAACTCCTTCTCACAGGTAAAAGAGGAATAAATTCTATGCTACCTAATTCAAAAACACTCAGAATCAAATGAAATACAAGCTTAACCTATATATAGTACACAACGCACAATCACAGAACAAAGCTGTCACTAATAACCTCGAGAGCAAAAAAGTAAACCTTCACTATTTTAATGGAAAACCCATACCCAAATAACACTTGGGCAAAATCCACTGAGGTTACTTACTGAAGGAAGAGTTATACACACAATCACACACAACTGCCAAGAATTCCCTCCAGTGTTTGTTTTAATAAGCAAACACACTCTTTCCCTTCCCTTCTTTCATACCGATTATGGCTTTTTTTCCACCTAACACACCCTGCAGATCGCTCTTTAGCGGTAGAGAGCCCTCTTCAATCGTGTTTTACAGCTCCATAGATACACACCTGCCTAGGCACACCCCGCTGGCCACATGCGGATAGATCGTATCAGGCCCTCACGGAACATTTGGGTTATTACTGTTTTGCTAGTGAGAACACAAGGAAAGCTGCGCACACGCTGGAGGGAAACTGCAGCGCAGCTTCCATTTGCACTTCTTGGATGTGTGCCCGCGCACTGAGGGTCATCTGCGTTCCCTCCTCTGTGACTCTGTTCCGATCTGCCTCACCGCCGATGACGTTTAGTCACTTGTTTCTTCAAATCTGCCTGTCTGTTCTCCAAGCCACTCCTGCTCTCCTCCAGACCACAGCACTGGGTGCTGGTCCATCTCCCTGCCTCAGTTTCCTCACAGCGTCTGTTGGCACTTTTTTTAAAAGGTCATATTTTTTTAATATTTATTTATATTATATATTTATATATTATATTTTTAAAAGTGAGGGGATGAGAATATAGCTGGGAGTGAAGGCCTTTGGTCAGTCTCCAGTGATGTAAACAGAACGGGGAGGGGACCAGGAAGAATCCACAACAACATGTCAACCTAACATCTGCCCCATGACTTTTCTGTTTCCTAAATCTTTTACACCAAGCACATTATTATGGAGGGTCCAAAATGACCCTCCATAAGAAATCTGCATTGCTCAGGTTTTTTGCTACATCATCTTGACAATTCCTCCTCTCCCTTTACCTCTCAGGGACAGGAGGAGGAAGAGGTCATCTGAAAGAGCACCTTAGCCACTAATTTAGCAGCACTTCAATGATCAGAAAATAAAAGCTGTAATCCCAGCACTGGAAGGCTGAGGCAGGAGGCTCACTGCAAGTTCAAGACCAGCCTGGGCTATAAAGTAACCCAAGACCAGCCTGGACTGCATAGCAAGACCCGTGTCTCAAAAAGACCAAAAAAAAAGCTGTATGAGAAATTGGTAACAATAAAATTGGTTTAATGCTAATGAGACTGTAGTTATCTTACTGTTATTAATATTGCTATCATATAGTGTTAATGACAAAGTAGTACAAAATACTTTTGTTTCTAAAGCCTGCAGCAGATTCTAGGAATATCTCTGAGATGACCAAAAATGCTACTGAAAGAGAAGAACGACGCAGGATATCTTTTATGTATAATTTTATCTAAGAAATCAAAATTTAATTTTTTATTGTAGAAAAGCTAGAATGTTTTATATCTATGTATTTCTCGGTTTCTACAGGAAACTGAAAAAAGCTAATGTTCAACATGTCTATACATTTGGTGTTCTGACACGGTTTCTATGGAGATTTAGGAATGGCCAAATACTGAAACAGGTTTCTCAGCATTGTTTTTTGTTTTGTTTTTGTGCCGGAGATCGAACTCACAACCCGGCGTTTGCCAAGCAGGCACTTATGCTGCTGAGCTAAACCCCTGGCCCCTCTCAGTATTTTCTCCAATGTCAAAAACTTTTTTTCTTGCAGTGCTAGGGATCCAACGCTGGGCTTCATGCACGCTGGCTTCCCTAGGAAGTGCTCTACCACTGAGCTGCAGCCCTAGCCCTAGCCCACACACTGAAATGGAAATGTAACTGTAGTGCTAGTAAACACAAAACAACAAACTCTGGGCTCACACCGGCTTTCGGATTCTCTGACTTGGCACTTACTGTGTTAAGTGTCCCCCTCCTGTACTTCCCCACTTGCTGGCTTCTCCTGAAGCTGCACTCTGCCAAACATTCTCAGCTTCAATTCATGGCCATAAGAACAAACCCACCGACAGAGCTGCCCAAATTCAGTCCACTGCATTGCATCTACTTTTTAAAAAAATTGTTATCCATTAAAATAAATGCATAAAATAAATGCATTAAAATAAATGCACGGTGCAGAGAGATAAATGTTGCCTCTGAACCTAGTAAAAAACCTTACATGAAATTAGATAGCAGTAAATTCGAAAAGACAGGTCTACTTTACAGGTAAAGCATAGACGCATTGTGAAAACAGATTTTCCCTGAGCCCTGAACCCTGAACCTGGCACATCTGTCACTTCCACGGTCTGAGCTGGGAGCTGGCCTCGGATCATCCCCTAACTTCATTTTTTCTCAGCAGTGCAAGGAGAACATACATACACAGGTTTGCTCTGTATTTGAAGAGCTAAATGGACTTGGTCTTCTTTCGAGAACAACGGCGTTACCCAGAATTTATTATTATTATTATTTTACCTAGATTGGTCTCTTTCCAAAATTCCAGAGATGAAAACCGAGCCCCCGCCCGCCCCTGCGGTTCAGTCCTAAGAACTTTTACTTCGCTGTTCTCAGCAGCAGAGCAGAGATCCACTGGCAGGCGTGGGGGAGGAGAGAGGAGAGGGAGCCATAGCAACGAAGCCTCCCGGAGCGGAGCGCAAGCCCGGCGCTCCAGGTCGCAAACCTTCCAGCGCTCGCGAAAGCCTAAACTCTGTCGAGTCTCGTTTGAAACATCTGACCGACAATCGCATGAGCTACCCGGGCAAACGAAGTCCAGGACTCGACCAGAGCAGGGATGGGGATACAACTGTTCAAGCGGGGACTGTAAAGTAATCACAACTCCGTGGGTAAACTTTCCTTTTTCGCGAGGGGGAGGGGTCCGCAGCCCTGACGGTAGCATTTAAACCTTCCACGGTTATTTTAAGGTCCTCCTCCCCTTTTCTTCCCTTCCGCGCTCAACTTATGAGAGGAAGAAATAAAACAGCTTCTCAGACAACTGTAAAAGCGCCTACTTAACACCACCATATGAAGTGCTGCGGCAACGCCTATTTGAACTTAAATTTTTAAGTCTTCACACGTTTGGGGTCCGCCTGTTCCGCACCAGCCACCTTACCAGGTTGGCGGAAGGGCACAAGCAGGCTCTCCCTGGCTCAGTCACTCAGTGCCATCTGGATGGGCAGCGAGAGGGAGGCGGAGAGGATGCTCCAAAGTTGGAGGACGAAAATTTTTCTTGAGAAAAGGAACCAAAAAGTCTTGAAAAGTCCCACAGGACTAAGTGTGGAGTCCCAGACAGGAAAGGTCCCAGGATGGGATGCGGACAGAGGAGGGGGTCAAGCACGCCGCGATAGTCAAAGGGTTGGTGGCAGAAGCCGGTCGCGGCGAGGACGGCACGAGGCCGAGACAGGCTGCTCCCCGGAGCCTGGCCCCCGGGGCAGGAAGGAGCCCGAGGTGCCCGGGGTCGCAGCCGCCTCTCTGGGGACCCCGCGCGCCCGCCGCTCTCACCTTCGGGCATCTCCCGGTCACTGATGTGCTGTAGGTGGTGGCCCTCGCCAGCGCCCAGATCCAACTCCGAGGGTTCCGCGGCGGCAGGCGCTGGTGTTACTCCCACCGCCGCCGCGTCGCCGGCCGCCGCCTCGTAGGTCTCGGACTCACAGCTGGCTTCGGTCGGCCCCTTGCGCCCGCCCAGCTTGGGGCTGGCGCTGGGCGACACGCAACAGGTCAGCGTGTTCCCCATGGGCAGCGGCGCGCCCCTCCGCCCGCGCCGGCGCCTTCACGCGGCACCGACCCCGCGGCGCGCGGCAGGCGCCCCCTCCCCCAACAATGGCGCGGGCGGCCCCGGGCTATGCCAGGGCTGCGCCGCGCGCTCCGACGCCGCCTCGCCCGCCGTGCGCTCGCCGCTTGCCCGCCCCGCTGCCCGGCCCCGGGCAGGGCTCCGGCCTCGGCCGCGCCGCCGTCGCCACCGCCGCCGCCACCTCCCCAGAGCTGACTAGACTGCGAGGGCGGCGACCAGCCCGGCTTATTTAAAAGGGGTGGGGACCCGACCAGCGCCGAGAGGCACAGCCACTGCCGGCGGAGAGCGCAGCCAGGGCTCCTCCTTTTTCCGCCGCCACCTCCCAAGTGAAAGCCCTCACACCGCACCTACCAACCGGAGGGCGCTCTGAGATCACGTGGTTAGCATCATCCTATCATAATCAGGCTTCTCTCCACGAGCCCGCCCACTCACTTACGTCACAGATCCCCGCCCCTGGTGCCCCGCCCCTCGCTCGGGTCGGGCCGCGGCTTCCATTCACGGTGGCAGCCAGGCGCTTTCCGGTGCTGCGGGGTGCATCCGCGCAGTCTTGTGCCTGGAGCCAGCCGGGGTGGACGGACTTTGTAGAAAGCTATGGTTAACGGCTCGGGGTTCTCAGAGTCTGACAGCTTTCGTTTGCCTGCGGAAATTAGTGACCTCCGAGTTGGTGGCCGTTTTTGCAACGGAAGGCTTCTCTCCTGGGTTCCCTTCCGCCTAGAGCTTGACGTGCGAGTCCCGGGCCGCGGGCTGCTCTACGTGAAGGGCTGTGACTGCTCTGGAGTGGGACCCCGAGGCCGTCGAACACATCGCCCCTCTACTTCCTTGCCTGTAGCATGAGAATCAAATGGGTCCCTCGCTGCTCTCTTCTGTTTCTCACTAACAGCAGGAGTTTCCAGGTTTTCCTCCCACTACTAACACTGTGTAAAGCATACTTTTTCTCGCACAAAATTGAGAAGCATCAAGTGGGGCAGCAAGGGCCTAGTTCCATAAAGATGATAAAAGACAGATTGGCATTACGTGTCCCGTGCTGTTGCAACTGAGATAGTCGGTTAACCTTCAAAAGCAATCCCATATTAAGTTTTAAGAAGGAAACTGAAATTCAGAAGGCAGGTAACTTTCCCAAGGTCACGTGACTGCTCAGGGTAAGGCCGAGGTAATGTGAATCTTAGGTAGTCTGGTTCTGCATAAGCATCTTGTCCTGATTATGTGACGGTAAAAGGAGAGGTCAAACTCAGAGGAAGTGACAGTGAACATTAGGGCTTATTTTGTATTAAGGAAGAGCGAGTTTTTTTTCACATGGATTTTAAATTGCTTCCCTTCACTCAACATTGATGAAGTTCGGTCTACGCGTCAAAACGCTGCCTGTGAAACAGTCCCAACCCTCATGAGTCAGGCAGATGAGAAACAAAGGCTGGGGGAGTCCAGTCATCTGAGGTCACACGGCTGGTATGCAAGCCCAGATCTATCTGGCTCCAAAGCAGATGCCTGAGCAGAGTTTGAATTTTAACCTCAAAACGTAAAAGTCAGTCAACAATGTGAAATTAAGATGTCACTATCAGAAGTGTTTGTGATGAGCTCACTAGACAATGAGGAAGGATGAAAGGATTCCACAGGACCAATGAAGGGATCTAGTTCGTCCAGGAGAGCAGAAAGAGTTCAAATCAAAGACAGTTGCAGTGACAGAAAAGCAAAGGATTTTATGGTCATTTGGCAGATAAAATAGGAAGTACTTAGTGAATGGATGTGGAGGAGGAGAAAAAATAAGAGAAGAAAGATTGCTGAGGTTCTGATTTGGAGGACCAGGTACTTGACCATGCCATCTCTTAGGCACGAAAATGTGGGAAGAGATACAGGGGTAGCAGATTGTCTTTTTCCTTAAGTAGCATATCAAAATGGAGCTAACTGAAAGTTGGATATAAATCTCTGTAAGTTAAGTCCCATTTGTGATATTCCAACTTATGCTTTCAAAAGTAACAGACAAACTAACTCAAACCAAAACAGAGCAGGTGGGAACAGTTCCTAAAACTTACATGCTAACAATCTTACTTTTCTTCTTGACTTTCTTTTGTGCCTACTTTCATAGAGCGGCTTGGAATCTATAGTTTTAGAAAATGGGGTATCTTATGCAAAATAAAACTTTTAAATGAAACCAACAATCAAAGGTGGATTTTTATCAGAGAATGTAGAAAGTAATTGAAATCATGAGTGTGGACGTGGTTACCTTAAGATAAAAGGAAATGTAAGAAGGAAGGAAGCAGAATAGGGAGATTGAAGTGGCTGGCGGGAGGCAAGCTGCAGAAGTGAGCAGGGACATGAGTTGATCAGGAGTGGCTGATCAGGTGAGTCCCATGAGAACAGGAACCAGTCTTCTTTGCATTCCTGCAGCCACAGCAATGCCTGGCACGGTGGCTGATGGGTAGACACTGAATATTTATTACTCTAATAACCAAGTCACATGCTACCGGGAGGGCTGGAAAGCTACCCCAAGCTGTTGGCTCTGGCAGCTCCGTGCTTGGGACTGTGTGTGAGAAGCAGGCCAGCGGCCAGTGGAAAGGCTGTGAACAGCAGGCGAAGAAGCCAAGCAGGAACTGAGGGCATCTCTGCCCAAACCTTTGGCTGGGGAGGAAGACGCAGTGGCATTTAAAGGGAGACGTAGTCTAAGGAAGTTTCTCCTCTTTTGGAAATGGGGAAAAAGGATGATACTATGTATGTTAAAGAGTACGAGCCGGTGGAGGAAAGAACGTTTTGAACTTAGAGGAAAAGGGAAAAGCTATGGGGCAAAGTCTCCAAGAAGGCAGAAGTGGGATAGATTAGCCTTGGATACAAAAGCTGGCAAACAAGCCAGGCCTGCTGGCAGAGGCTTGTAATTCCATCACTATGGGAGGAGGCTGAGGTACAAAGAAAGATCTCAAGTTCAAGCACTACTTGGGCAACTTAGTGATTTACTGAGACCCTGTCTCAAAATAAAAGATTAAAAAAGGGCTGTAGCTGTAGCTCAGTGCTAAGGCCTTGGTTAAATACCCAGTACCACAAAATAAAACCAAAAAACAAAGAAGAAAGCATTTATGTAGTCACAGAGACATTTGTGGTGGAGAAGTTTAGAAAGAACTTACTTGAGGACCTCTCTTTTCCTGTATTTAGAAAATCACTGTGGGAAAGAGGCAAGGATAGCTAGGAGTTGTGGCATTCGCTGGTAATCACGACTATTCAGGAGGCTGAAACAGGGATCATGAGTTCAAGGCAAGTCTTGCAAAGTAGTCAGACTCTATCTTACAATAAAAAAGACCCACAGACATAGCTCGGTGGTAGAGACCTTGGCTACCTTGTACAAGGCTCTGGATTCAATCCCCAGACTGCAAAAATAAAAAAGCAATTAGATGTACAGAAGTCTATGCTTCGTAGAAGCCAAAAATACTTAACAGGAACCAAATATAGTTGACCTTCACATCTGAGAGATTGGCACAGACACCCAAACTCAAGGAGGCTCAAATCCCTTTTATAAAAACAGCATATTTGTATACAATCTGTGTACATGTTCCTACATACTTTAAATCATCTCTATATTACAATATAAAAATATATTAAAAATGTTCAACATCACTGGCTACCCAAGAAGTGCAAGTTAAAACAACACTGAGATTTCATCTCAGTCCAGAAAGAATGGCTATCTTCAAGAAATCAAGTAACAAATGCTGGAGAGGCTACCGAGGAAAAGAAACACTACTCCATTGCTGCTGGGAATGTAAACTAGTACAACCATTATGGAAACAGTGTGGCAATTCCCTAAAAAACTAAAACTAGAAATTCCCTTTGACCTGGCTAGCCCCTTCTAGGTATATCCCCCCAAAAGTTAAAGACATTATATTACAAGGATAGATGCATGTCTACAGCAGCAGAATTCATAACAGCTAAATGTTGGAAGCAGCCTGTATGTCCATCAACAGATGAGCAGATAAAGAAAATAGAATTCTGTGCCATAAAGAAGGATAAAGTTGAATCATTTACTAGGCAAATGGGAATATATTGAGACTATATTAAGTGAAATAAATCAACACAGCTGCTTAAATATTGCATGATTTCTCTGGTATATAAGAGAATATAAAAAATATAAAATAAAAACAGACAATAGGAATGAAAAGATAGAAAAAAGTTACCATAGTCCAGCATGGCCAAAGTACCTAAAAATGTACCTTGATTAATATAATTGTTTTATGCACTTTATAGGCTTTTTGATCTGTTAGTCTGACTGTTAATCTGTGTTCATGATAATTAACTTGGTAAAGACTTAAAAGTAAGCAAATAAACCTGATCCTGGTAGAAAAATGAGAAAAAAAGATAAAGAAAAAAAGAGACAAAAATAAAATTATATATATATATATATATATAATATACATAATACAATGTAACTTCTACATCAGTGAATATTACCCTGTATGGTTTCTAGAAAAATGAAGAGCAGAAAGGTCTGCATGTGTTCCGCACAGAGGCATAGTTTTCAAATATTTTCAGTCCACAGTAGGTTTGACTCACAGAGGCAGAACCCATGGATTCAAAAGTGTGGCTGGTATGTCTCCCTCAAAAACAGATTAAATTGAAGAGAAATTTGAGCAAAACACAAGAAGCTCAAGTATAGACAGGTATATCACCAAGGTAGAAGGTGAGACCAATTATTTCCTCCAAATACTTAAGCGAAATAGAAAATAAATTTTAGAGGAAAATAAAAGAAAATTAGGGAGACAACGATAGCTACTTGCAAAAAGTGTGAACATTTACAAATGCCTAAGAGTACACAAAAATGGCTAGAAAGAGTGTTATGCTTGGGGGTGGGGATTTAGCTCAGCAGCATAAGCGCCTGCCTTGCAAGCAGGCAGTCGTGAGTTCGATCCCTGGTACCAATAAAAAGGAAAAAGACCAAAAAAAAAAAAAAAAAAAAAAAAAGAAGTGTTATGCTCTAAACCAGAAGAAAAAGCCACTTCAAAAAGCAGGGAAGCAGAGATGATTCTTCACTTAAAAGATTCAAGAGCCAGGCGTGATAGTGCATATCTGTAAACCCAGCATTTGGGAGGCTGAGGCAGGAGGATTGTTACAAGTTCAAAACCAGCCTGGGCTACAAAGTAAGTTCAAGTTCAAGGACAGCCTGAACTGCTTAGTGAGACCCTGTTTCAAAAAAAAAGAAGACTCGTTCAACGTTTGGGGACAAAAAGCATAATTTTTAAAATGTAACAAAATGTAGTGGAATGAGACAATGTTCTGAGAAATTTAATTTCAGTAACCAATATCTATTTAAGTCCTCAG